CTGAAACTTCCAAGTAGCGAGATAAAGATTTGACCTTGCAGAAAGTAATTCTTTTTAGTCGTCCCATCTTGTGTTACCTACGGCTCCTGGATGACTTAAGAACTTTCCTGTAATACAATTAATTCATACTTTCTATACCCGTGAGTATTCAAAAAGAAGACCATCAAGGTATACTCATGTGAATTCACTAGATTTTTTACAAAATACATAGTAATTGACAGTGGAAGGAAGTGGAGTTTGAGGCTCTCTAAGATTGGCGCTTGTTTCACTAGCGAGATAAGTTTAAGCGCGCCTCGGCGTCTTATTGATTGCTGAATCTCGAAAGTTTATCGACAAGCAGCAATACCTACCTTGCCATCTTCGAAATGGACGACCTCGAATCTCTCGAAATCCTTTCTTTGGTCCAGAGAGTGGCCTCTGAATTGCATAATCATCTTGGAATAAGTGATAAAACCCTCGCCGAATTCGTTATTGCGCAACGTACAGAATGCAGTTCCCTCGAAGAATTCCAGAAGAAGCTCGAGGCAATTGGCGGAGATTTTCCTCAAAGTTTAGTCGAGAGTGTAGATCGCCTGGTTTTGACGATGCATCCAAAGTTCAAAGGTGGCAAAGGTAGAAATGGCGCATCGACTGAAAATGGGAATTTCAAAGTCGAAGAGAAAACGAAGGTCTTTAGAGGTCTGGCATTACCTGACAAGAAACCGGCATGGCAAGACGAAGACGAATCCTCGAACGGTCACGCAATGAATGGAACTGATGCGATCGACGATACCCTTGCACTATTAGAAGGTCTGGCACCCAAGGCGCAACCTGTCGATGATACCCTGGCATTATTAGAAGGTTTGGCACCCAAGTCGCAACCGGTGAAACTTGAGAGAGAAAATAGAAAACGAAGCAGGAGTCCAGATCAAGATTACGATAGAGGACGAAGTCGCAGGGATAGGCGTAGATCTAGATCACGGTCCGGAGATGAACCAAGGAGGCGTCGAAAGCACGAATACGAAGAAGACGAATTTGGGAGGACGCGAAAGAGTCACAAAAGTAGCCGAAGGAAAAGAGAAGATGATGATTACAAACGACCACGCACCCCCGAAATTGACGATGAAGTTGTTTTACAGAAAATTTATGACGGCCATGTCACTAGTGTCAAGGATTTCGGTGCTTTCGTTAATATACACGGTGTAAAGGGAAAGGTTGATGGACTTGTGCATATTTCGGCATTAGTGGAAGGGCAGCGAGTAAATCACCCATCGGATCTAGTCTCACGAAATCAACCCGTCAAGGTCAAAGTCATTAAAGTGGAGGGTAACAGAATCGGACTTTCAATGAAGGAGGTTGACCAAGAAACTGGGATGGATTTAGCTCCTCAAGAGAAGTTTCATTCTGGGGCTAACAGTGCTCCTCTTGGTAGCAAGAACGAGTATGGTTTAATTGACGAGCCTGTGCCGGTATTCGAAGGGCAAATGTCGCGAAATTCGAGGAAGAACAAGAAGAGAATGACATCTCCTGAAAGATGGGAGATTCGTCAACTGATCGCATCCGGCGTGGTAAAAGCATCGGATTACCCAGATCTAGACGAAGACTATAATGCGACACTGAACGGCGAAGGGGAAATGGAGCTCGAAGAAGATGTTGATATTGAGATTCGGGAAGAAGAGCCTCCTTTCTTGACTGGGCAAACGAAGCAGTCTTTGGAGTTGTCTCCAATCAGAGTCGTAAAGGCTCCTGATGGCTCACTTAATCGCGCTGCTATGGCAGGCACGACTCTAGCTAAAGACCGTAGGGAATTGAAACAACAGGAAGCTCAAGACAAAGCTACGGAAGATGGAGCAAAGGTTGATCTTTCTGCACAATGGAATGATCCGATGGCGAATCCAGACCAGAGGCAGTTTGCTAGTGATCTTAGAACTGCAAAACAACAAGCACCCAGTAGTGAAGTCGTACCTGCTTGGAAGAAGGCTACTCAAAATAAGAATGAACCTCTAGGTCGCCGCACGGATATGTCCATCAAAGATCAAAGAGAGTCGCTTCCAGTATTCAGGTTCCGCTCCGAGTTAATCAAGGCTGTTCATGAGAATCAACTTTTGATCGTGGTTGGTGATACTGGTTCAGGAAAGACGACACAATTGACTCAATATTTAGCGGAGGCTGGCTTTGCTAATAATGGCATAATTGGTTGCACCCAACCTCGTCGTGTTGCTGCTATGTCTGTTGCAAAGCGTGTCTCGGAAGAAGTTGGCTGTGAGCTTGGTCAAGAGGTTGGATACACCATTCGATTTGAAGATTGTACTAGCCCAGCCACGAAGATCAAGTACATGACAGACGGAATGTTGCAGAGAGAAGTATTGATGGATCCTGATTTAAAGCGATATTCGGTTATTATGCTGGACGAAGCTCACGAACGTACCATCTCTACAGATGTTCTCTTTGCATTACTGAAGAAAACTATCAAACGTCGACCAGATCTGAAAATCATCATCACATCTGCGACTCTTGATGCTGACAAATTTTCGTCATACTTTAATGAGTGTCCCATTTTCTCTATTCCTGGTCGAACTTTCCCTGTAGAGGTCATGTACTCAAGGGAGCCCGAATCTGATTATCTTGATGCTGCTCTGGTCACGGTTATGCAAATTCATTTGACAGAACCTCCTGGAGATATTTTACTCTTCTTAACTGGTAGTGAGGAAATTGACACGTCTTGTGAAATTCTTTACGAGCGTATGAAAGCACTTGGACCTAGTGTTCCGGAATTGATTATCCTTCCTGTTTATGCCTCACTTCCCACAGAGTTGCAGAGTAAGATCTTTGACCCCGCACCCCCTGGAGCTCGAAAAGTGGTTATTGCCACCAACATCGCCGAAACTTCTATTACTATCGATCATATTTATTACGTTATCGATCCTGGATTTGTCAAGCAGAATGCTTACGATCCAAAACTCGGTATGGACTCGTTGATAGTTACCCCAATTTCCCAAGCACAGGCCAAACAGCGTGCAGGACGTGCTGGAAGAACAGGCCCAGGAAAATGTTTCCGTCTTTACACAGAAGCAGCTTTCCAATCCGAGATGTTACCTACTAGTATACCGGAAATTCAGAGACAAAACTTATCCACGACTATTTTGATGTTGAAGGCTATGGGCATCAATGATTTGCTTCATTTCGACTTTATGGATCCACCTCCAACAAATACTATGTTGACAGCCCTGGAAGAACTATATGCCCTTTCGGCATTGGATGACGAAGGACTTCTTACTCGTTTGGGTCGTAAGATGGCAGATTTTCCCATGGAACCATCTCTTTCAAAAGTTCTTATTGCGGCTGTTGACCTCGGTTGCTCTGATGAATTGCTCAGTATTGTTGCTATGATTTCTATTCCAACTATCTTTTATCGACCCAAGGAAAAACAAGCACAGGCCGATCAGAAGAAGGCCAAATTTCACGATCCTCATGGTGATCATCTCACACTTTTGAATGTTTACAACAGTTGGAAGCAGAATAAATTTGCAAGTCCGTGGTGTTTTGAAAATTTCATTCAAGCACGAAGTATGAAGCGCGCAAAAGATGTTCGCGATCAATTACTGAAAATTATGGAACGATACAAGCATCCCATTGTATCTTGTGGTCGTAACACAGATAAAGTTCGACAAGCACTGTGCTCTGGATTCTTCCGAAATTCTGCTCGAAAGGATCCTCAGGAAGGATACAAAACATTAATCGAAAGCACGCCTGTATACTTACATCCTTCGTCAGCTCTTTTCGGTAAACAAGCCGAATGGGTCATTTATCATACCCTTGTAATGACGACGAAAGAATACATGCATTGCACAACAACTATTGATCCTAAGTGGTTGGTGAGTGCGGCACCAAGTTTTTTCAAGGTGGCGGATGCAGGGAAATTGTCAAAGAGAAAGAAGGCAGAGAGAATTCAACCCCTTCATAATAAATTTGCAGCAGAAGATGATTGGAGATTGAGTGCGCAAAAGAGGCAGGGTAGGAGCGGTGGAGGTGGAACTTGGGGTTAAGGACTGGGTTTATCTATTGATTGTACAATATGGAGACTTATGGGGTTTTACTAGCTTAGATGGAAATGCAGTGATATAATGAAATAATCTTGATACCTCCAGGGGACATTTTATGATGTCGTGTTTGAGCTCTGAAGGACGATTGATATATTTACGGTACATTATCTGTAGGAGAAACAAGTGCTTGGTGATATCGCAGGTTTCGCCAAATGAAGAAGTCGCATTCTGCGATCCTTCCAAATATCACCTCGATCTAAGTACTAAAAGTCATGCGATTGATCATACGATGAAAAATAAGAGGTTTCCATCTAGTGGGTGGAATCTGACTGCGAATTAAACCTTTATGTCTTCTTGGTATTACAGTAAGGTTGGCCGGATTGGTCACATCTTAACTATCCAAAAAAATTGTTTGGGGAAAGCAGTACCTTAGCTTCATTCGAAGAACAGCCGACGACGATAATGCCTTAACCCTTGGGACAGTAAGTCATACCTCGATCTTTAACAATTGCTGAATATATTAATCATCTATGTAATGTAAGTGATTCTTTAATATCTTAACTACAGCAAGATTTACTACTTAGGAAACCGTTCAAAGATCATTTTGGGCCTGAGATTGCGCCTTCCCCAGCTTCACTTAAAGGAGAATGAGCTTGAAGATGAAAATGAGGTTGGATAAGGACCATATTGAACGATCATACTTACTACTCGTAGTATACTCGATTGTGTGTCGCAGCACTCGTCCCAGGTCTCATATTCGCAAGGCAAAGGTTAGTGTAGAGCTGAATTATTGCACTACATCTTGCTCTAGGATGCGTAGAACTCCGACCAAAGCAGAGTTTGAACGCACGTCTGAAAAGGAACTCAGTACATTGCTCAAGATATTAAATGGCGGCAATCCACGGAAGCTCGTAGCAAAACTTTGGGTCTGGTTGGTATGTCTGCTGAGATCAATCATTGAGAAATTTACCAAATTTTAAATAGGAAATACATGGTCATTCAAATTAACATAAGATTACCGACATTTTATAGCAAATGAACCGTTTCCAACTATTGTCATTTTAACCATAGCCATATACGGTGTATCTTAAACTCGAAATATCAAAACAACCCAACATCACTACATTTTCTCTCCACCACTTTCCGACTTGAATTGCACCGCTCCTTCCAATGCTGGTACCCATGGATGTCTATCCTTCACGAAACTTTCCCATTCTGGCGTCATTACTTTCTCGAAGATTCCCATCTTCAAAATGGTCTTACCAGGATATGCTTCGGCGATTGATTGAATTGGACTATGGATCTTGTTAACGATTTCACGCAACTTCAAGGAATAAATGTCAGGAGGCATGAATTGGAAAATGAAATGGTAAACCTACTTTCCACATGTTTTACAAAAGTGTCTCCTAACACATTTTCCGCTCGAGGTATCATAGTCTTCATACACATTCATATTTTCCGCCCCTTTAATCGTCACTTTTTCACTCTCGATTGCCAGATTACTCCCAAATGCTAGTCTCATTGTTAATCGCTTTCTCATGAGTTGAGATAGTTCCACATACCCGATGAGGCTGTCTTTCTACAATTCAGACAATGACATAAATGGCCTCTTGGACGAGAGAAGAGTTCCGAGTCGTTGATTGTTACGGTGATGGCGCCGCAGAGACATTCACCTTCCATCTTGTCAAGGATAGCTTCTGGGACGTTATATATTAGACTCGGATAATATAGGGGCTTGAGATGTGGTTGAGATTAGAGGAATAGGGGAGAGTATGTAATTCTGTCAATAATATTGGGATAACAATTGAACTGGTTTATAAATACCTAGGTATTTGCTGCACATATGTTTTTTACAGTAAATATGTGCGGAATGAGGGCGGAATAGTGTGCGGGGCAAGCGGGGTATCGTCAACGTGTAACCGTTTCGAGTGTGGGGTGATAGGGATCCTCGGGATAGAGACAACCTGAAAGTATTCTAGAGTTCGGAGATAGTGTTGAAATGAGAATTCTTATTAGAGATGTCTTTACTCTTTATCATTATCACCGATTTTTGTTATCGAATACGAAGCTGTATCGTGAGCCCTGTGGTAGATTGCTTACAAAGTGACGCACCATATAACGATAATGACAAAGTGATAGCTCTCGTTTGTAGGATACGGCAAGTATTTCGGCAGTCCCGAGTAAACAGGAATATTTTGAACGAGACAAAAATTACCCGAGAGGGTCAAGGGGGGGATGATCGGTCGCGAATTTGGGTCATCACTTTCCACTTTACCATCAGTAATACATAACTTTGTATCTACAGATTGAATTCGTTACTTTCATTAAGTTGGTCTTCCGTTAAATTTATATATACATGTGAAAGAAGTCAGACGAGGACTTGTATCAATCGTCTACCGACCACAAGATACTCAGACATTTAACAATAAGACCCGTTGATTGTGGGTGTAATAACACCTTGATCAACTAAGAGCTCCCATGACCAGTAGTCAGAAGTTATACCCTCTCCATCAACAGCAGCAGTGTTGTTAACCATCTTGACGTTCCAAAATGCGCTACCGGAAACATGCTTCTGGTAAGCATAGACTTGAGTATCGTGTATAACCTTACGTCCAGCAAGGGTGTTATTATAAAGAGTCTGAAGAGACCATTCGCCGATAAAAACAGGGAACTTGCCATCGCCTGCGGTGTATTGCGCTTGTCCACAGATGGCTGGGGCAACATATTGTGAATATATACCGGCAGCGGCGAAGAAGTAGATGTGGGAATCTATGACGAGATTTGTTCCAGCAGCGTAGAATGGAGACCAGAAAGCTTCTCCCAAGAAGCAGTCTTGCAACATGAGGGGGATTTTTTTGTTGACTTTAGCGATACGGGTCAGGACACCATTGATGTACGTGTTAATCCAGTTAGTACCGTTAGCAGTCAATCCTGAAGCCGTGGCAAAGCCACTAAAATTATCTGAAGCTTCATTGATTGGTGCAATGGTGAAGCCTTGTGGTTGACCAGAGCTTTGGATGAAAGACAAAATAGCATCAATGGCCTGGAAGGAGTATTCCAAGTTTGTGGCATTTTGGTACCATCCGCTATGTCCGAAAGCTTCACCGATACCTAAGGAGTTAACTCCTCCAGGAAGAGAGTGGAGACCAATAATGACGTGCATTCCATACTTCTGGATAGCATAGAGGGCAATATTTCGGAGATAGGTTTGTTGCTTACCATGGTACAATTTGGAACCAGGGAATTTGATCCAAGCTGCGTATGTAGTAGGAATGCGGAGCGTATTGATATTTTGAGCAGCGAGCTTGTCGATGTCGGCGGTGGTAATCCATGAAGCATAACGAGCCTCGAGAACTGGGCCACACTTATCACCTAAAGTCTCACAGAACCCCCATTCATCAATAGCATCAGGTGCATAAGCATTCCACCAGTCAGGATCGTAGTTTTGTTCTCTAAGGCCACTGTTAGTTTTCTGTGCACGTAAAAGGGGAAGAAAATGGGATAGTCTTACTGTTCTAACCAAGCACCAAAGTTAACACCATTGGCCTTGTAAGTGGTCCAATCGACGTAGTTGGTCGACTTTTTGGTCCAAGAGATGTCATGGAGATATCGCTGGATAGACAATGCAACCTCAGGACAAGAGATACTGCCATAGTTCCAGACAGAACCGTGCTTTGCGGCATTGGTTTGAAGAGTAGCGTCGAGCTTGGAAACAGCAACTTCGATATCCGATTTGACTGTGCTTACGACAGTAGTAATAATTTTGGCGATACCAGCTTCTAAAGCGAGGATATCACCGAATAAGGAGGGAGTAGGAGCAGCTAGCACCAAAGGAGTAGCAGCCAATATAAGACCTTTAGTGACACGCATTTTGAACGAATGTGAGAATTTGGATAAAGAATGGAACGGATACTTAGATACCGAAGTGAATCTGAATGGGAAAGAAACTACCTTTGAGTCTTCAACTTTGTCTTTATATCTTTGAAAAGCAAGTACTTACAAATGCAGCTAAGAGATTCTTTAGTTTATAATAATAACTAGCTCACTGAAGTTATTTGGTATGACGGTGACATTCGAGATCCACCATCACCATTTCTCCATTCATCCATGCTGAATTATTCTCCACGCTGGCCGATAGACAGAGAAAAATAAGTTTTCGGCCATTTAACAGGAATGTTCATCTGAAGGCAGTTGGTAATGACAGCCACTGGAGATTATGGAGCTAACTGAACCAGTATATCCTAGTACCAGGTGGCCGCTTAATCAATTCAGGAACGAGTTGGGATAGAGAACGCAATACACGGAATCGTTTACAGTACCTAGGGATGGGCGAATTATACAATTTAGGGGTCGATTATATAATTTTATATTATAATGCTTTTTGAGGCATATAAAATATTATGCCAAATTTATACACATGTTTTTCAAGCCAATAAGATCATCAGGATAAATAAAAGTAAATCGTTTTTGGAAAAAGTTTTTGATAAATTCTAATTTTCAATTTAATATATAATTAGATCTAAAAGTCAGATACTAATTATATGATTTATATATTAATTATCTTCTTTTCAAAATGGCTTCAAAATAGCCTTATATAAAGTTTTAATAAGGTTTTATAGGATTTTATAATTAATTATAATATAATACAATCTGAACGATATTATATATTATATTTGACTAAGCAATATACAATATTATATATCATCAAATCGCCTAACCCTAACAGTACCATCGCAGGATCCGACTGTATATAGTTAGTAGTACCCAAACTATATGGAGTAATCTCTTTTCAAGATTCGCCAATACTCTCAAGTACCAAAAAAGTGCAACTCATTGCGCTAGATGAATTTCTTCTTTTCTTGGCAAAGTAATGCCAATGCACTTCCACTTCACCGTCCACTTTGAATTGGGGTCAAGACATATTTGTTGATTCATAGTGTATATTGTCTGCCGCAGTGCAGGGTCTATTATGCTTCTAGTGTTCTATGAAGATTTGCTTGGTGAGTGTGGAGTGCATAGGAGCTCCAACAAGGACATTAAAACCGGTAGAGCGGGGCATCAAACTCGTCAAAATCGACCCCCTTTCAAGAACACCTTTGTTTTACACCAAGGCGATGTGAACGAATATTTCTTGTAAAATAAGATACTCAAGGTTTATCAATTGTGAGCTTGCAAAAATTCCTGTCCAGATCATTCCCCAAAAATATACAGAATTATTTGATGTATGATTCCGAAAAGGAATATGTAATCATTTGATGTTCCAGTGGTATCATCCTAGTGAATAGAGAGGAGTCCAATGATGATGACTCGAGGATGATAACTTCCACTGATTGTTTGCCGACCGTCCACTTCAAACTAACGTTACCGTCCACTTCAAACTAACGTTAGTACATGATAAATTCCAACTCTCAGATGAACTAGGGGCGAAAAGGTACTCAATCTCATCTACAATAGAAAAATTTCATATCGGACATCGTATTCTTGTATTCCAGAACGTATGTCAACCACAACCCGTCCAATGGCAACTTCCGGCAGATCCTAACTTTTCGTTCCCTGATTATACCTACTGGGTCTAACAAAGCATGCTCTCATAATGAGTGTTCTCAGCTGAGTCTTGAAGTCCATAGTTCATAGTTCAGCCGTGGATGAATTGCTATGTGGACTGGTGTGCTCTAGTTATATTGACTCTGTGCCTTGCAGCAGGACCGAAGGACTGGGATACTAAAAATACACACCCTTCTCAATGTTCGACAACAAACATTAATTGTTATCAAAAACGAAACAACTACATCTGATGACCTTTAGTTTGTTATGAAGATTATATGATCTACATTTTGGAATGAATCAATTTCATTAGAGGATACTGAAACGTGAGTGTTCTCAAAAGACGATCCGATTTGAGTGATTTAGTATATCATATCGTTCACATGCCGTGAAGTTATACAAGAGTCGGGAGATACAATATGCGATTTGATTTTTTTTTTGGATTTTCGGGATCGACTAACGTTATTTGTACTGATTCTTGAGTTATTGACCTACTCAGTTCCACGGCGAAGTGTGATAAAGCTCATTCAAATAATGACCTACCTTTGTAAAGATAGAGGATAGAACCACAAAGGTCGATGGCGTTGTTCTCGAACTTGAAGTCAAACACCAGTCAAAATGTATCAACCAAACTTGATGGCCTCACGGATCGGGTTATAAGATTCAAAGGTCGATCCAGCCGTGACTCCGTGAGTGGTGAATTTTGAGATTTTTTTTGAATCTAGAATCTGAAAACCATACTCATACGGTGTACAAGATCGACAAGAGATGGCTATGGATGAACCTTAAAAGTCCACCTATACGAGATAAGGGTAAACTCTAGCTTGTACATGGAGTTCGCAGTTTTCCCATGCTTGAAAAGTGCAGTTCTCATTCCTCCGGAGTCCGTGTATAAGCTTCAAAAGAAGCTTCAACCTGAATCAACCACTAATCTTGACAGTAACCTATTTGCCCTGCATAAGTCGGATTGGCAGTTCCATGATGTTTAAACTTATCTAGAATCTCGCGATCGTGGGGCCAGAAATTATGTAACCGTCGCAGCTCCGAAGCACTGTGCCGAGATGGTAAATTACAGAGTACAAGAAGACGAACCTGGCTCGAGCCTGGTTTCCTTAGCAGTGGAGTTGCACACTTTCTAGTGGCACGAGTATCTATCCAGTCAAATTTTTGATTTTGTCAGATTTATATGGGTCGGACCAATGAATAATATTGTCATCGGGAATGAATGTAGACAGACAGGACAGACAGGCTCTTCTTCTAGGTACGCGGAAAAAACAGGAAGAATTTAAGTACCTTTTTGACAAACCTCTTTAATTGAATTATAAATTCATTTCAAATTAAATACTAAAATCTGAAGAAGCCAAACGAAAACTTGAGCCTTCTTAATATCAAAAATGGGGATCATATGTACATAACAATCTTGAAGAGACCCCCAAGTTGTTGAAGTCCTTCCTAGGGGTATCAATTTCTGCCCGTTTTTTCGATTACGTGAAGACAGGGTTATTCATTTCCATTCTGACATTTTTAGCAGATCACCATTGGGAACGTGTCAGATCCGCATTTTTCTGAACACTCTGGCGACGATATGATTACATTCTATTATGCTCTGGAAGACTCAGTAAGATAAGAATGTTACCTTGAACTCATTCACCTCCTGCAAAAGATATTTAAATGTAGTGACTTGAGTGTTACTCATAAATAGTCACTGTGATCGTCACTACACTCAGTGAGGCATCACCATCCTATCCTATAAAACTTCAAAAGCCGAATATTATGATTTCGATAGAGGAATCTATACTACCAAATCATAGTCCGATATTAAGAATATAAGATCTTACTATGTAAATTAATACACCTTATATCTTATCGAATTCTACACAACTCAAGAAAAGAAGTTTCAAATGAAATTTACTAAAGTAAATAATTCAAACCAAGATTAAGTTTCTTTTCTTTTTCTATTCGCTTCCCCCCCCTCTCTGACTGATATATCAGTTAATGTATAGTATATCTTCAATTTCTGATAATTTTTATATATGATATCGGGATCTTTCGATCCTCCAGGTCAGAAGAACGAACAATAAAGCTAGAAAACATATATGAACGAGGTTCAACTGGAAGGGGGTCATGCTTAGTCATTCAACCCTATTGTGCTAAATCAGACAAATATTTGAGAGATACGGGCAGTGTGACTGTATCCTACAGGCGTTGCAAATGTAAAGAGTACGGTTTTAAAAATCGTAGTTTACGGTTTTCAGGGGTTACGGTTTTCATGGTTCGCTAGGGCGATAAGAGCATCATTGGCGCTTAAAGAACGACATTGTGCGTACATTGCCAGTACTTATACCCAATCACATCCAATCAATCTGTCAACACCCTTAAAACTGTCTTCTTCTCCATCTTTTCAAGCATTCCGAAGTACAAAGTCCAAAATTTCCAGATTGCTTGCAATTACTTGGGACAAAACGCGATAATGGGCCTCATATTGACCACGGGTTTATTGTTCTTTCTTACTCTCATGCTATGGCTTCTACCTAAACTATATACCGCGCGGAATTTTTTCACAAAATTATCAACTCGTGGCTTGGTAAGTTCTTTTCCTTGTCAAACGTGATCTGTTACACTAACATTCTCCTCAGCCAATGCCACCTCATAATTTCCTCGCTGGCCATCTTATCGAGCTAGCCAATGTCATCAAAGGTTTCCCAGCAGATGCACTAAAAGTATACCTTTTTGCTGCTCTCGCCCGTAAATACTCCCGCAATGGCGCATTCTACCTTGATCTGTATCCCTTCGCTGCCCCATTCCTAATCATCACTTCTCCGTTTCTCGCAAATCAAGCTGTACAATCTACTCCGATATCATATCGTAAACCTGATGCTCTGAGAACTTGGTTCTGGAGCATCGCAGGTGGTATCAGTATGTTTGATGCGGAATATGATGAGTGGAAAAATCTACGAGGTCTTTTTGCCAGGGGGTTCAGCAACAAGTATCTAATGAATTTGGTTCCCGGTATTACAGATGAGGTTGAAATCTACACGGAGGGATTAAGAGAAAAGGCAAGAAAGGGAGAGATGATTGAGCTAGATGGGATCAATTTGAGATTTATGATTGATTTGATTGGGAATACTTCTTTGTAAGTCAATTCGTTTCGCTACATTCACTGCAAGGTGGTATGCGTGGAATAGGAGAGTCAAAATAGGCGAAGTGAGAAATTCTAACACAATCTAGGAACGCAAAGCTCAACGCTCAGAGAGGATACAACCCTCTTGCAGATACCATGTTGAATCAAATCAAGAGTAAACTTGCGAATCAAGAAGTAAATCCTGTCCAATGGCTCAATTTCGTACGTCCAATTAAAGAGTGGAGCAATGGTCGGAAAATGGATGCGTATATCAACGTAGAACTTGATAAGCGCTTTGAGGCTTACAAGCTATCTAAGAATTCCGAGACAAATGGCCAATCAGACGACAAAGCAGAACCCTTTAAATCAATCATTGATCTAGTTATCGAGGACTACATGGCTGATCCTGCTCGAGTCAATGCAACCAATCTTGACCAAGAATTCCGCACTATCGCTACCCACAACATCCGACTCCTTCTCTTCGCCGGACATGATTCAACAGGTAGTGCCATATCCTGGTGTTACTATCTTCTTTCTAAAAATCCCTCCGCCCTCGAAAAACTCATCCAAGAACACGATTCAGTATTCGGAACTGATATTACCGCTGTTCCGAAACTTATCAAAGAGGATTCAACTCTGATCAATCAATTGCCATATACAACCGCCGTCATCAAAGAAACTCTTCGTCTCTTCCCACCCGCATCGAGTATTAGACAAGGACTAAAAGATGTGGACTTGGTTGATGAAGAGGGAAACATCTATCCGACTGAAAATTGTATGTTATACACGCTCCACTTGCCAATTCAACATGATCCAACATATTGGGCACGTCCTAAAGAGTTTCTACCTGAGAGATGGCTTGCGCAGCCAGGCGATGAATTGTATTGTGATACCAAGGGAGCTTGGAGGCCATTTGAGCTGGGACCAAGGAATTGTATCGGGCAGGCTTTGGTGATGATGGAATTGAAAATTATATTGTCCATGGTCGTCAGAGAGTTGGATGTACAGGATGCTTATGGAGAATGGGATAAGAAATTCGGTGATAAAAAGGGGATGAAAGAAATAGACGGAGAAAGATCATATCAGGTTGATGGAGGAGCTGCCCATCCTGCAGATGGATTTCCTTGCAGGGTGTCGTTCAGGAAGGGTGAGGCATCGTCATGATATTTCATTTGTAAGCTGTTGTCCTGAGCACCTAGATCATTTTGTTATCTCTCTATCTAGAGTTTAAAGTGACTCGGGTCGCAATTCGGCAATCGGAAGCTTTAGATTACCATAAACAATTAGACTATTTCCAAGTGAATGAAACCCCAAATTTTACTACGTGAAACAGCTTGATTTATGAGATGATAAGAATTTATATACAGTATTTCAGTCTAAACTGTTGGATAACATGTCCGTGTTGTCCAAGAAGTTAGTTAAATACATATAGACATATATAGTTTTGTCTCGTATACTCAATCTGACTGGTGGACGGAAGAATTGTCCTTGATTCTGAGGCGGAAACAATGTGCCCTATATTCAGACTATTTATCATCACTGCCTGATATTGGAAGTCGAGGAATTACATTAAACATTTGATTATTCTACTATCATAGAATGACCGCTTTTGTCACTATGCCCGTCTATCCTGAAAATCCAAAACAACCTCATTAATATGCCATGATCCGCGTCCAAATATCCAAATAGATCCAAACATTATATGGTAGAAATCTCTGGCACCAAACGCCTAATATCCTTCTTCGTCAGAAGACGTAGCGCCGTCAACTTGTGCTTGATACATCCTCTCCTTATTCTCCTCCGATGAAAGTAAGCTAGCCTCTCCATCCTCCTCAATCTGGAAAGCAGACCAATGCCTCTGATGCGAGGAGTCATAGCAATTTCTACCTTGACTCAAAGTACGCTTATGTGCAGCATGTGGCTCAACATTTCTCATCAAATACCTCCAATCATGAGGCCCGCTTCCCAGATTGGCCCAAGTAGTGACTGTTGCAAAAACTCCTCGACTGTCATTGAAGTCAAGCTCGAGGCAGTATTCGGTGGGACAATCATCGCATTTCAAAGGTTCTTTTGTGCTGTGAACGGGCCAATTGAAATCAGGATTACCATTGACCTGATCAGCCATCGCCTGGAATCTGACACATGTTGGTCTTGCTGGTACGGGAGTTTGTGGTGCTTGAATGTAACCTGGGAGCTGTGAAAGTGGCAGTGGTAATACTTCCGAGAAGGAATTTAATAGTCTCTTATTGCCCAAGTCCATAAGTCGTACACGCTCTGCGTTCAAAGATATAGTGAGGTGCGCGCAAACCTCTATATCTACGTGCCAAGACCTTTTGTCAACCATGAAATTTGAGAAAAGGACTGATTCCTGTCTACGATAGATCATCAAGCCTTGTGTAATCTTACAATCTGTCCGAATCTGCCAAGAGACACCATCACTGTTGTCGATCTCTGGAGTTGGTGAATTTCTTGACAATAACTTCAACAGCTCATTGCATTCTGGCTTGAACTGATGACGTTTCATGGCCATTTTGAAGATAACACCAGAAATTTTGGCAGGTCTATGATTTAGAGATTTGAAGGAAGATAAAACACATGGTGTCAATTCCTGGAACTGGCGTCTATCTTCTACCGATCCCAAGCTATATTTTGCTGCATTTGACATACTATGTAGACGAAGACAGTATGGGCAACCAATTTCATCCTCAGTAGCCAATCGATCCAGTAATGCCAACTTATCTTCTTCATTCAAATCTCTGGTAAAATGACCATTCAGCTTATGATAAAATGCCTTACAGGATATGGAGAGAGCAGCTGCCGATACAGAAGATGAGTAATCGCACACTGACAACAAGATCTCTGCCGGAAGATTGAAGCTCATTTTGAAATTTTCTGATGAGGTTTCAATATGATAAGAGACCACTTTCGAGTGCCCGCTTATTTTGGTAATGTTCGAATGTTGGTGATATATAAGAGGAATATAATGATGAGAATGATGAGAATGATGAGAATGATGAGAATGATGAGAATGATGAGAATGATGAGAATGATGAGAATGATGAGAATGATGAGAATGATGAGAAGTAATTGTAGAGGAAAAGAGCCAATTAATCACTCAGTGATATATTTGGAGAGAAATGAACAGTGTAGAAAATTTGTGCGATGAGATTGATCGTGTGTAGGTCAAAGAATGATAGTGTAATAAAAGACAGAAAACTGGATATAAAAGGAATGATCAAGAATGAATGAAGGATGAAGGAAGAATGCTGAAGAGAGAAGGGAAATACGTGAATTTGATGATGTTCTCAATATATGAAATGTAAGTAGAAGTAGATTTGACCCAGAGGATTTGGATAATTGGATTTGTGCGCCAAGCTAATGACATCAGCTCAGCAGAATTTAGAATGTACTACTTGCCAAGTAGCATTTACTAAGTCAGAACATAATCAATCATGAGTTAATATGACAAACTGTTACGTTTACCTTCATACACCTTAGGCGTCAATGAATAATTCACATTCAAGAATCTTTGAATGATACTTACACATACACACAGAGAAAGAGACAGAGGAAGAGGAAGAGGAAGGAGAAGAGAAAGAGAGAGGGGAAAAGAAAGAGGAAGAGGGAAGGGAGACAGAGATCATAACGGATTGTCTTTGACAGACTTGTGTGATGGGATTGAAAGATATCAGCTCCTTGTCACTGAGATGAAATTAACTTTACACTGTGTATGAGCGTACCTCTCTTTGATCTCAGGTAGACTTTAGATGACCAGAATTTGTGTTGTTTCAACACAGAATCTGATTCTCTCATTTCAATTGAATGATTGAAACGCTCTCATATTCTCACTTGATTGACATGAATTTCCTTTTCAAAAACGAACCCCAAAAGAAACCTACTGGTGAAGTCTTGGAATGAAATGGTATCTGAGAAGGTTGAGAATCTTTATCAGTATGAGCATGTTAGCTAAATGTCATGATTGGGAGTAATATGATCTTATCATCCAGCTCAAGGCATTTCTGTATGGTTTTCTCTTCGTCACCAAAATGATTCCCAAACGCCCCAGACTATGCTTCCTCTGTTTCATCGTGAACCTAATGCAGCCTCATTTGTATATGCGTGTTTATCATCTATCATATCTGCCATGTAATGTCCGATTCCGTGTGTGCCAATGTTCTCCCAATTTATAATTCTGACCAGTTGTCGATCGAGTCCATTAGACAGTTCAAATTCCACCACCTTCACCGTCAGTTAGCAAACAATCAACAATTCAGGGTTATTGCAAAGTCTCACCGCTTCTACCAGCAGCAACAGCAAAGTTCTGTTTTGATCCAGCAATCTTCGCGGCCTCACTTCTTTGCATGACGGCTTTCCATTTCATACTGACGAAAAGAGCTCCGCCACCAAGAAAGGTACCAAGGATCAATCTTTGACGTCTGCGAGTGTGAAGTTAGAACAAGTGTATATTTGTAGCACTCGCCAATAAAGACGATCGAGTTATAGACATCAAGTATCGAGTACATAACAAGGCAGAAAAGAATTGAAGGGAGACTGGGGGAGATAAACATACGAGAGGAGGGCTCGAGCTGGTGGCGCCATTTTGCTGCTTTCTCGCTGTTTTATGTTGTGTTGTACTATTCTCTTCAATCTTATTCTTGTGGTTTGGATCTTGAGTTGAATATAAAAAATGGACAGTAGATGGTTTCACAAATGAGTTGCCGGTGAGCGGATTGATGGTTGATACTTGGAATAACGGATGAAGGAGACCTCGGAAGAAGTGAAAGTTAAATGCTTCGATGTTGACCTCATAAGCTTCGAAGCTCGTACCATGATTGAAAAAGCACGCGAGCTATCACCAATTGAAGCTAGTATCTTCATTAGACCCGTACTTACCCCAGAATCGAGAAAATTGACGAATGAGAAGGCGTGAAGCGATAGAGATAAGGGATTGGAAATAGATAAAAGATAGCTGTCAGATCACGTGCGTATCTATTTCCGCTTTTCCAATTTCGAACCTATTTTGGTATCCATTCACATGATATCATTTATATATTCATTATTATCTACAAAGTATGTCTTTATGTAAGTACTAGTTATATGGAGGTAGGTCGGTAGGTAGGCAACGTTCAACTCTTTATATCTCTTTCTAAATAGTCTGCCTCCACGGCAGTGGCCCTCGGAGAGCCAGCGGAGCGTCATCTCATTTTGCAGTCTTGATAGATTCTATACATTATGCATCGTATAATGAAAGGTTAACAGCAGTTCATATATTGTGAGATATACTAACATTTAATACTATTCGAGTCGATGGATGATATCCAACGATGAAACATTGGCATAGATCTTATTTGTGCATATGCATCGCATGGTTCCAAAGGATTTGAGATCGTTCGATCATCTAACACTCACAGCAAAAAGTATCAAAAGTACGTTTAGCTCACTCTAGTCCTTCTTTCTTTCCTCCCCCCTTAAAGTGATGTTCGAATCCTAACATCTTTTGACCAACTTCGCTTCTTCACAATCATATATCAAATACACAGCGACATCCACGATACTAAAAGAAATCCTTCGGACAGAGAAGTGATGAAATGTGTAGAAATCTTGCAGTGTTATATCTGTTTTCTAGTTCCTCGAAGTGGTACAAACTGAGGATAGACATTAAGTTTATTGCTGCCGCACCCATAGTCGAAATCATCGGACTTGACATTTCATACGAACGATTACTTGTACAGAATAATCTGACAGACTTCAAGCAGTTGAACAATTAACATCTAGGATCTTAATCCATTCAATGGTGGATCGAAGATCTCAAGGCTGACTATAGGAATCTCGGATGGACGGTTAATCAAATGGCCAAGGTTAGCCGTTTTAATTCGAAGTACAGTATGGAGGTTGAAGGCGTAAGTCGTGTAAGCCTTATTTTTAATAAAAGTTGCTGTTTTACGAAATTTCAATACTACTTTTACTAATTTTATTAGACGAGCTTTTTCTCAGCCCTTCATAGCTAAAAATAACAATGGCCTTGTTAGTACTCTCTATAATTATTTTTAATGCTACTCAAGATTTACGCTTATACTTATGCTGTGTAGCTTTTAGAATTCTAATTAAAATATAAATTTTGAAACTATTCAGAGATTATAAGCTTTTTAGAGTGATAGTCTGTGTACAGGCTTAAATGGAGTATATTCAACCTCGAACTTCGAATAATAATAATAATAATAATAATAATAATAATAATAATAATAATAATAATAATAATAATAATAATAATAATAATAATAATAATAATAATAATAATAATAATAATAATAATAATAATAATAATAATAATAATAATAATAATAATAATAATAATAATAATAATAATAAATAGATTTCGCTAGCCTCTCGCTTCTAGCTCGCATAAGGGCGCCGAAGGCGTCTTTAAGCCTAAATCTAATAAATCTAATAAATCTAATCCCCCTCCCTCTCTCCCTTCCCTTTCTCCCTCCCTCTCTCCCTCCTCTTTCTAATCCCCCTCCCTCTCTTTCTTCCCTTTCTTCCTCCCTCTTTCTCTCCCCTTTCTAATACCCCTTCCCTTTCTAATACCCTTCCCCTTTCTCCCTTCCCTTTTTTCCTTTTTCTTTCTCCCTCCCCTTTCTAATACTCCTCTCTCTCTTCTTCCCCTTTCTCCCTTTTCTTTCTCCCTTTCCCTCTTTTTCTTCTCTTTCTAATCCCCCTTCCTTTCTCCTTTCTCTTTTTATTCCCCCCCCTTCCTTTTTATTCCCTTTCTAATCCCCTTCTCTTTCTAATCCCCTTTCTTTTCTCCTTCCTTTTTCTAATCTCTTTCCCTTTCTAATTCCTTATTTCTTTTATTGCAAATCCCAAACCTCCGAATTAATCAGAAATATTTATTCAATTTTTCAAAATCTTTAATTTCTTTAAATCTTCAATTTATTTTCTAATTAATTATTTTTCTTATTAATTATAACTTATCAATATAAAAATTATATTATTAAAAAGCTTTCAATTTATAGAATTCTAAAATTCCTTTTGATTCTATTTTATAAATTCTTTATTCTTAATTTATTGATTAATTTGATATAAAGTATTTTAATGTTTGTATATAGGATATTTGTACTTTTTTTCAACCAATCAGCTTCTAGTTATAAATTGTATTTTAAATTCTGTATATTAGGGATTAGTTATAAACTGTGTTTTAAATCCTATATGTTAGGGATATTTAGTTATCCTTTTTAAAATGTTGAATTTTGAATTCTTTTATTTATATTTTCAATTTTTAGAATTTGAAAGCTTTTAAAGCTTTGAAAGCTTTCAATAGGTTTTAGATAGGTTCAGAATAGTATTTTCAAAAAGAAAAATATGAATTTCGATAAATTTGAGTAATTTTGTTAGGGGTAGAATAAATTTATAATATTTTCATTATCTGGAGTTTATTATATAAATTTTCAATCAGTGTGATGATATGATTGGTCCAAATGATAAAAATGGGGCAAAGCTCGGTCGCTTTTTGGTGTGTTTTACAATACTTACGCCGTCAACCTCTGTAGATGGGATGGATACATGGATATATTGTTACATTCAGGTGCTTACCTTACTTGTTGCTGCGCCTATTGATGGTGGGGCTAACGAAGAGTACAATGTAAACTTCCCTCGGCTTCCTTTTGTTATGTTAAGGGTCAAGAAACGAGATTAGGTACTGTGCCACAGAATTTACATTCAGTCTCATTTTGGAGGCAACGATGAAGTTTACATCCACTTCGAATTCAGCCTTCAGGCTATCTTTCATTTGGAATGGAATGACCTGACTGAGTTTGGGTATCAACAAAAGTACTTGTTGGTATTTTCTTCTTGAATTGAAAAGTTCAGGATGAAGCAGCGTCTAATTCAATTCCAATACGGATAATCCTGAGTCAGTCTAGATTTATATTAAAAGAGCAATGATACAGGATGTACAGCTTATCACAAATCCACTTCAATCTCCCAATTTGCTTTTACTTTTAAGCAAATCAAGAAAACATTGCAGTCTAGAAAGCCAATCGATTTTCCCCCTATCACTTGGCGTGATCCAATTTCCAAAAAAAGACTTGATTGGAACTTGAAAGGTACAGTCCGCAAAAATCATATGCAGGTACGAACGATGAGATGAATTAAGGAGACCCAACCTTTAAAAATATGGTTAGATGTTACTGGGTCGGTTAAAACAAATTCATCCTATCCGAATGAACCGAACAAACGATCATCTAATTCCTTGTCTGTCATCAAGGATTGCGATCAGGGGTATACTCATTTTGGCCGTCATTCAATTGGTTTTTCATTTGAAGCTCAAGTCGCTTACCGTTCCTTTCATACGCCACTGTTTCCAATATACAATCGGAGAGATGAATAGATTAATTGGAAAGCCTTCTACCGTAGACAAATTTAATGGAGTATGCCTATATGTTTATAAGGAATAATCCCTCTCTATCATGAGCGCTTCTTCTCTTCTTCCTTCAAGCACCTTTGCTCCTCACATTCATTGTTGATTATCACGCTCTTTTCGAAAGCCTTTCGCACCTTTCATACATAACTCCAAGTCGAGTTTATTCACTATTTTCAAGCACATATCTAAGTTTCCGGTCCGAGACCAAATAAAAATAAGAATTCTTCTCCCGCCGTTTCAATCACACAAACAAATTCAAAATGCAGCTCCCAATCAAGACTCTCGTCGCTCTCCTCCCTTTCTTCCTTCAAGTTAGTGCTCAAGCCTCTGGTTCCGGCACCACCACTCGTTACTGGGATTGTTGCAAGCCATCTTGCGCTTGGTCTGGCAAAGCTACTCTCGAATCTGGCTCTGGACCAGTCGGAACCTGCGATGTTAACGACTCACCTCTTTCAGACCCTACCGCAGTTGCTGTTTCTGGATGCGACGGTGGAAACTCTTACATGTGCTCAGACCAATCTCCTTGGGCAGTTAGCGATGATTTGGCATATGGTTATGCTGCCGTTAACATCGCTGGTGGAAGCGAGGCTTCATGGTGTTGTGCTTGTTATGAATTGACTTTCACCAGCACTGCTCTTGCTGGCAAGAAGATGATCGTTCAAGCTACGTACGTTAACACTTTTCCCATTCATTTCACCCCCTTTTCCCCTAAATACGTCTTTTAACATTACTCTGAATATAGTAACACCGGTGGTGATCTTGGCTCAAACCAATTTGATTTGGCTATCCCAGGTGGAGGTGTTGGAATCTTCAATGGTTGTACAACCGAATTTGGTGCTCCTTCCTCTGGATGGGGTTCACAATATGGTGGTGTCTCCGCCGTTTCTTCCTGCTCAACCTTCCCAGCTGCCCTTCAGCCAGGTTGCAACTTCAGATTCAATTGGTTCGAAGGTGCCGATAACCCAACCGTCGATTTCAAACAAGTCGAATGTCCAGCAGCATTGACCAAGAGCACTGGATGTAAGAGAGCCGATGATTCAAGCATGCCAGCTCCAGATGCCTCGGGAAGTGCATCCGCTTCCCCAGTTGCAAGCACTTCTGCAGCAGTTGTCCCTCACATCGCTGTCCCTTCTTCCAAGGCTTCCTCTGCCCCAGCAGTTACTTCCCACTCTTCCGCCACTAAATCCGCAAAGACCAGTGTCGCCGCTCCTCATTCCACCTCTGCTTCGGCTGGCGATGACGATGATACTTGCGATGCCGAGTAAATTACGAAAACCAGGAGTTTCGACATGGAATGGAGTTTGATGAACCGTAGAGGTAGAGGTAGAGATAGATGATATGAATCAGATGGCTGGGTAGAGAGCCTGGCTAAAGATGATGAAAGATACCTTCTTGTAATTATTTTCCCAATCGCCAAATTCAAATATGAATTGAACCAACTTTTTTACAACATTATTTTACTTCTATTGCTTATGAGGTCGCATGTTGTGAAATACATCATAGGGAAAAAAGTCGAAATACTCGCATTGCCAATTCATTGAATTCCATTCCCACGATGTAAATTTCCTCCACCACCAAACCCATCCGTACGCCAATATAAAATTCTAGCATCATCCCGTCTCTTTAAAGCTCGTTTCTTATCTTCGTACTAATCATTCTTTTATATTCACCACATGGTCAAAATAACATTATACAGCAAAACCTCTCCATAAGGATCCCCCCTATAAGGATAACCTCTCTATAAGGATATATTTTTCGGTCCCAAAAATTTTCAGGGTTAAAAATGATTTATATCCTTAAAACCCCTTTATTAGGATATCCTTATATTTTTTGGTTTCAAAATCATGTATATATTCTTATTGAACTAATAAAATCATTAGAATTAGTTATTATATAATAAATATATTAGGATTTTCGAAAGATTTAATTGAAATTTTAAAAAATGTTATGGAAACGGTCTGATTGGGATTAAGCGGAAGTGAATTAATATTGTATCGGGATTAGTTGGAATCTCTATATAAGGATACCTCTCTATATCCTTAAAAAAGACTACAAAAACCGGTATCCTTATGGAGAGGTTTTGCTGTAAATAAAGTTCGTTCATCAAACATACCCAGGTCAATTGATCCATAACACTTTATTTTATGGAGACTTCATTTTATGGACTGAGACCCGCATTTGGATTTTTTGGAATTGTCTGTGAGAACCTTGTCGTCGTTCATCAATACGATATCCGAGATAATTTACCTTGTTGGCTTTGGTGCTGTTACACATGTGATTCCTTTAAATAATCAGTGCCATGGAATGGAGTAAGTTTCGTACACTTCGAAGTGATATGTCTCACGCATATAGTTGCAGATATGTCCCAAGGCCTTGCATCTAATGATTAATGTATTAATTCTCCAATAATCGCACGCCAAATAATATGCATCACAGATTTTTAACGCCAATTCTCCATAGAGAGCCAAGAGCTTCTCTATCGAGCGTCCATCAGCCCCTTGAACCCACTCTACCACCCCCACGTTCTATCCACCAACTTGAACGGTTTCCAAACAATCCTTGATGGATCAATCACCCTTTTCGGCTTTAACTTCTGCTTTTCCCTCATCGCCTCATGCCTCTTGATCAACGCCGTCGGCAAAACCATCTTGTGTTCTCCCTTGTGGTAAACCTGCATCTTCAGCGCCTGTAGTGTATGTTCTACATCAGCACTCGTCATATTGAGCTTTTGCGATAAACCTTCTATACTAATTCTCTCGTCCCTTTCATTGTGAATCAAAAGCTCTTCAACAATTCGCTCGGTCCAATATTGTCGATATGAGAGGAGACCAAGATCAGATAGGGGTTTTTCGGGCGAGCCGAGCTTTCCTTCGATTTTCGAGAGCTCATAGGAGAAATTGATCAGAAGTCGTCCATAACCTTTACGTTGATATTGCGGAAGTGTCAGAATACAAGCTACATTATAACCATCCGCACTTTCTTTCTCTTTTGAGAAATATCCCACCAAATGAAACCCCTTTTCGTCTCGAGAACACATGACATAAAACAAGAAAGGATCCACGTCGTAGTAAAGAGTCTTGTGATCCAGAAACATCTTGGATATGAGACATAAGTTTCGACACCAAGTTCGTTGACGTCGACCATCGATTTCGAAGAAAGAGACGTAGTCATCCCGATAAATTTCATTTCCAGGAGGATGTTGTAATGTACACTTGCCTCGATGACGAGTGAAAGCTTTGAGGTCTCCATAGTAAGATAAACAGAATTCACAAATGTACATGAGATCCTCTTGAGTGAATGCTTCCGGGTAAGGAGAGAAATACCAGGGGTAAAGTTCGAATTTACCGAATTGAACTTTGGAAATATTTCGAATACGTGAGATTTCGGCTTGGTTTTGAGTCATTGAGCCACTAGTTCGTAATTTTTCGATTTCTTCCTTTGGACTGAAATGTTGAGCAGGTTCATTCTTTGCATTTGCAGCTTCAGTTGCAGCTTCATCGACATCCATGGGATCATTGGCTTCAGGAGTAGCATCAAGATCTAATGCCATGGTAAGTTTTGCATCTCCATCAGCATCTGGTGTCTGTCTCTGAGACTCCGCAAATTCAGACCATGGAGGAGCATTTGAACCAGATTCTGAAACTACAGAATCTTCTCTTTTGCTTGCTTGAGTTGGTCGTTTTTGATTCTTCTTGTTGGCAACGATTGTCTTTTTCCCAGCTGGAGGAGCTTTTGCCTTTTCCTTTGGTTTCTCTGGAGCTGGCCATTCAACATCTTGAGTAAAATCAATCCTGATAGCTGGAACCCATTCATCTAGACGTTTGTTGAAATTATCGAAATTGCAATAAAATTGACGACCACTTTTCGTCTCTTTTATACTGAGAATTTCTGCTCTTCTAAGCGCACCATCCTGATGTGGAATTAGTACATCGATTTTTGGGTAGAGCAAATAAATAAGTTCCTTGTCTCCAAAAGGATGGAGAAATGGCAGTAAAGGCCACAAAAGGATGATTGACGTTCAAGTGGTGAAGCAAATGCATGTGGTTACTAACCTTCTGTACCATTGCTATACATCCTACCCTACAGGCATTAGTTAGCACCATCAATCTTGCGACCGTGAAATGGTATTGGAACTTACCCCAATGTATCAATTGTCGCCTTACTCTTCTGCTTAGGTACTGGAGTTCCTACAGAACTATCTTTATCTTGCGACGGGCCTGTCATGATGGAATCAAATAATTATTTTGATGGTTATGAATTGATTTTGGATTGATTTTGATTGATTTATCACTATGTAGTTGCAGGTTGATTCTTCTTTCTTGGAGGGGCAAAATTGATAGAACGAGGCTGTAAAAATAATGTTCTCGCATTTTCTTTAGCCTTCGATAACCTTACTTGGTACTCGAGTAGGTATCGTAGGTACTAGGTAGTTTTATCAGCCAGAGCCTTGCCTTATCGGAATACATTTATTTTATTTACCTACTTTGTGAAAACCCAACCCTCAAATTTTATTTCTTTGGCAGCCATATTGACAACATCAACAACGGAATATGCAAAGAAAAAGTCATGGCTCCTGTTTTATCAAGTAATTGGAAAAATCTTCAAGCAGCATTAAAGAAAGCCCCCAAACCAGAATCAGATGCGAAGAAACGAAAAGCTGCAGAACCTTCGGAAAGAACGAAAGATAGTATCGCAAAGCGCAGAAGATTAGAAGGCCTCGCAGTAAAATCTCGACCAATTGCAGACGCAAAGGGAACTTCGAGGAAGGGAAAGATGGGAGCAATGGGGAGTTCACCAGCTTTAGATTCAACAGAAGATGATACACCACTCCCAAAGAATGCACCGTCTGCTTCTTTGGCCCTTTGGGCGGAAGACAATGATATATCGGCGAAAGATCTTGCGGAAGCTTATGGAGGAAGTTTGAAAGATACCACCATTCAAGGTGCTCGAGCCGACAAAATCAATGGCGGGCTTTCAGAAGACGTCGACATAGGGAAATACATTGGAATTGATTGTGAAATGGTAGGTGTGGGGGGTTCCGAAGATAGATCGGTATTGGCTCGAGTTAGTATTGTCAATTTCCATGGCACGCAGATATACGATTCTTTTGTGCGACCCAAAGAGTTTGTTACGGATTGGAGAACTCATGTTTCTGGTGTATCGACGAAAAATATGGCGACGGCGAGGGAATTTGATGAGGTGCAGAGAGATGTGGCCGAGATTTTGAAGGGGAGGATATTGGTGGGACATGCGATAAAGAATGATTTGGAAGCCATGATACTGAGCCATCCAAAGAGAGACATACGAGATACGTCGAAATTTTCAGGCTTCAGAAAATACAGTAATGGGAGGACACCGAGTTTGAAGAAGTTGTCAAAGGAGATTCTGGGTGTGGATATACAAGGTGGTGAACATTCTAGTATTGAGGATGCAAGAGCAACTATACTTTTGTTTAGGAAACACAAATCGGCTTTCGATATTGAACATGCAAAGCACCATCCTCCGCACTCCGGTGTGTCTTCGAAGTCCAAGCCAAATAAGAAGAAGAAGAAAGGGAAGCGTTGAAGATTTTTAGGGTCACGACGATTTGAATGGTGATGGTGTAGGGACTCTACTTTATTGTAAATAGGTTGACACGTATATTTTTCAAGCAAATATTGGCATTCAATGGAGTTGGGAGTTTGGATGGCGTTAAGAGAGATACGCATCAACTCGAGCTATGGTTTCAAAAATTCAAAAACACTTTCACGAGCATCAATAAAACAATTACATTCCAGCTAGGCACTATTTCATTAGCAAGGACAAGAAAAGCCAGCCAGCACTAATAATATACTATGGCTTATCCATGACAAAAAAGTCAAGTCTATGGTCTAACACACTGCCACTCTAATGCAGTGCCAATTCTTCTATGACTTTTGAAAATTAGAGAGAAGAGAACTTCATTACCTCTCCCATCCATCGACTCCAAGTACTCCAAGAAAATTACCCTCAATATGAACCGAGATCTCGAGATTATAAGGGAATACCGTCCATCAATTCCAATGCTCCTTCTCTGCCCACTGTGATTATTGCATCTCCAAGGGTTTTTGTTGCAAACCCTGCTTCGCAATATGTGAAATAGTACTGTGTGAGCATGTTAGCGCATGCGATATTGGGATAACTTTGTGAGATGTATGTGGAACTACGTACCTCCCACTTCTTTCTGAATACTTCTACCTCTCTCTCACCCATTTCCTTGTGCTCCGCCATTAAGGCAGGTCTAATCCTTGACTCGAAATTTGCCAAGAACTTTTCTTTCCATAATCGCAACGTTTTCGCATAATGACCTCCGATATTCTCCACCTTTTCAACAACCAATGTTCCTTCTGAGGCTTTGGTGATATTATCAATTAATTGTGTAATAGAAGGAAGATGGCCTCCAGGGAAGATATATTTTCGAATAAAGTCCTCCCCCTTTGCATATGCCTCATATCGACCCTCCGGCATAGTAATGCATTGGAACACGGCAATTCCATCTGGTTTCAGTAATCGATGGATGCAGGAGAAATACGTTTCGAGATACTCTGCCCCAACAGCTTCGAGCATCTCAATGGAAATTATCTTATCGTAAGGTTGTTTTGGGATGGGTAGTGCTCGATAGTCCATAAGTTTCACTTCAATTCTATCCGCAAAACCGGCTGCGAAAATGCGCTTTTCGGCCAAGGCCTTTTGTTCAACGGACAAGGTCAAACTTGTTACACGACATCCTGTTCGTTTAACAGCTTGAATGGCAAATGAGCCCCATCCAGTACCAATCTCTAATACATGATCCGAGGGTTTGATTTTTGCCCCGTCTATGAATCGATCGAGTTTTGTTCTCTGCGCTTCTTCAAGTGTCTCCTCCTTCAATTCGGATGAGGCGCTAGAAATAGATTTCCATATCGGGCATGAATATGTCATGTCTTCGGAAAGGAATGCAGCGAACATTTCATTGGAGATATCGTAATGCGCGGAGACGTTGAGGAGAGAATTGGACAAAGTGTTGGTACTCCGGGCCAGTCCTGTAATAGTGGCGGCGATAGAGGAGGTGAGAGTTGTGGCATTTGCGAGCTGGTTCCGATTTTGGATAAAAAGCTAGAAATGACTTTTAGTATGAAATTGTGAAATTGCGTGGCATGGGGGAAGCTTAAAATACCTCGAAGAACCCAGTCAAGTCATCACATTCGACTTCTCCCAACATATATGCTTCCGCGAAACCCATATCGGCAAACAGAAAGAGTCGCACCCAAAATGCTTGATTGATAACTCTCAATTCTATCTTTCTTGCTGCACCAGCTTTGCGCGAGTTATGATGTCCGTTCACGCCATTCACTCCATTGGCCTTGTGTTCCTTTGCAATCTTCGCTCCATAACATATTGTTTTTCCAGTTTCGGCATCGGTAACGAGTAGTGTTCCACGCTCGATTCGTCCAAACAATGAAGTTACAGCAGCTTTTGAGACAGATAGAGCTGGGCCCCAAGTTAAACCACCGATTGTACTCTTGAGATAATCGGTACTCCTCGTTATGGGCGCGGTGATGGCGTCGGGGAGGTAGGAAGCCATTATGGTGATAGGGAAGCTTGTTTGGAAATACTCAAATGACAAACTTCGGAAATTATTGCATTAACGACCTGCGCGTGTAGAGGGGAAGGTATGAAAATATCAATTGAAGGGACAGTAAGGTGAAGATAGAGAAAACTATTTACTCGGTCGAGGTACTAGATGGGTAGTGCCGTGGGTGGGAACCTTTTCTGCAGTGGAGACTAAGCTATCACCACGCTAGATGTTGAGCTTGAGCTGTGCACAACCACTGGTTTAATTGGGATTGCTTTCAAGAAGGAGTGAGAAGGAAACAGAGGAATTGGTATATATCTTTCTGTCACTGTTGCAGTATCAGCATCAGACGACACAATACAAAGTTGAGGAGAGAGATATAAAGAAAGAGGCAATACTCACATTGTGAATCTAGATCAAAACGGAAAAAAAAAGAGAGAGCGAAGCATGAAAGACCCGGATGACGATGTTTCCCGAAGACCGCCAAACATTCAATGCTTGAGTACATGGAAAGGAAACAAGGGCTAGTAAGAATACGGTTTAGGGAGGGGTGAAAATAGTTCATGCAGATGGGGAGCCCCGCTATTAGTGTATCCTGTCGGGAGATCTGTGTGGAATGTATCGATATTAGGATGTGCTTGGGCTTTGAACACAGACATCAATTGATCAAGCTTTTTTTGTAAGAAGAAAAGGAAGTTGGAAGGACAACAGGTTGAATCGTTAACATGTAAATATAAATACTGCTTCGCGTGTATCTAGGATACTCGAACACATGGATAGTCGATACCTCTCTTCTCAAAGCATGCAGGATGTATATATGTATGGATATACTAGGTACCTACACACAAGGATTTCCAACAGAGTTATTCTGCCGAGGTAGCTATGGAGGTAGGAGTTTAGACCTTTTCTTTTGTTTTTGCACATACCATACCTACTTGTACTTGTACTTCTACGATACCTGGTAAGTAGCTAACCCCAAGCACGTATGAGTATGAGTACCTATTGTGGCTATGGCCATAGCTATGAACTTGTATCCTGCGTGCAATAATTAACGTGTTCGTATAAGGCTCAGCGCAGGGAGACAAAGCGAAAAGTAGCTAGTATGAAAAGAGAGAGATGTAGTAAGTTGATGTGAGTGGTGCACCTACTATCCATCTGATTATGAAATCAAAGTCTTGACATCATCAATTGATCCTTTCCCGTATCTTGAATCGATTGTTCTATGGGATATGTAACAAGGTATATCTTTCCCAATGGATATCTCCCAATGAAACTTATCGAACGGTATCTTCGGAGTCCGTACATTCCCGGCGTGAAACGATTTGAATACATCTTTTCCACTCTTCCCAAAAAAAGTCCGGATCGAGTGTAAGAGTGTCAAGAGTGGAAGGCATGGGAAATGGGAAACGGGAAACGTAACCTTGGGATATGGCATTTGAAAGAAAATGTGGGTGATTATGTAATGTGCCAGGGGTAAATTCCGATTGAGAACGTCCCGAGCCACTCTATGCGGATCGGATTATATTCAATTGGCCAGGAAGGGAAAGTCTTTGTCTTTTGGTAGGGAAGAAGACATGAGGGATTCTATTGCTGTACGGAGGATATACCTTAAACATATTAGTAGGAGGTGTAGAAGGTGCAGAAGGTTTGTATTGGTAAGATAATGTTGCATCTTGCATGTTGCATGTGAAAAGGGTGGAGTGTATCATGGTCTTTACCCATACTACCCCGTTACTAGAGGATGATTTGAACCACAGAGATGAGTGGAATTTATGAGAGAGAAGGAAAGAAACGATAATATATATGTAGCACCTACATACTCGTGGATATAAATATCGTGTAATCTCTTTTGTATTGGGTACTGAAAATTAAACATCACAACATTCAAGACGGATCTAATAACCCGAAAGAAGAGTGTACATGAGATGGTGGCATATGGGTGATCGAAATGATTACTACCTAGTAGGAAATTTCCTTCCATTCGAAAGGAATGCTAAGAATCAGAGTATGGAGAAGATAACAGAAAGCAGAGTGTATATTTTCAAACACTTCGCCAACCTCCATCAATTCAAATGACTGAAAAGTAGTTTGGCAGTATTGGTGAGCCGGTTGCCTTCGTCTGTGTTTGGGCGTTTGTTACCGAGTGGTGCCCTGTTAGACGAGTTTGAGGGAGAGTTGTAACATTAGGGTTTCGACCTGAAGTTTTGTAATTTTTTTTATCTCTCTTTCCCTTGAGATCTCACTCTGTATGTATACTGAAAAGCATTGTAGACTACGAAGGTTGGAAGAGTAAGTCTTATGAACCCCACTTTTACTGAGGTCTTGCTATTTTTAGAGATTTTGGGACCACTTTAAACGATTTGAATAAATGGTGAATTATTCCTCTTCAGAATTCAACATTTGAGACTTTTTTTTGGCTTTTTATCAACTTCAAAAACCTAAAGTGCGAACACATTTAGATGTATTTTACAATACTCACCCTTCCAACCTTCCTACAAATATCAAACAGAAAGCCAAGCTTCGTTCAAATCTGGATCCAATTCAGACGAATGCTACTGAACCACTCGGTAGCTCGATCTGTAACATGATGTTAGCTTAAGTGGGGCGAGGCAGTCTGAGATCCAAGCGCAAGCACTTTATCGCACACGCGTCAAAGTCGCGTCTCTCACGGCCACACTCATACAGATTACCAAAAACTTTAATTCTGGACTGCAAATTCGTATACATCAACTCAATTCATTCAACCCGACTTTGCACAATTCAATCACAAGAAACTGTCCTCGCATACAGATCGCAAAAGATAAAGGAACCTAAACATCATGCTCGCGATACGTCCACCATCTAGTCAATCTTCATCGAAACCCTCGAAAAAATACACACTTAATCTCATCCCATGTCGCATAAATCACACGGCTCCAATTAAGATCGAAAAGAGATATTGGGATCCAAAAATTACAAAGAATCAAAGGGGAAAGGAAGAATTGGTGTCATATTTCAGAGGTAGAAGATTGATTGGAAGGAAGGTTAAGGTTCCGGAAGGATGGAGGGGTGTTGTTTTGAGAGTGGGCGAAGAAATTATGCCACGAGAATCGAGTGCTGAGGATGAGAGACAAGAAGACGAAGAGGATGAAGATGAAGTGGCAGAAAAGGAAATCGAAACGAAGATAGTTGATGAAGAAGGTGCTTTTGATGACTTGACAGTATGGGGGCATGAGTGTTTGGTTGATGCGAGTGGTGATATGGTCGTCAGAGGAATGGAAGAGTGGATGGCATGGGCGAGTGTGGTATGTTTTTCTCTTTCGATCATTTTGGTAGTGGAATCGCAGGAGATGAGGAATGATCAAATTGTGCTCGGGAGTTATGTCGAATGAATTGTGCTAACTTGTCTTCTGCCCATAGATCCACAGCTGCGAGGACGAGATTAGCAAGGAGGATGAAAAGTCAAATTAATAAACGAATCTCTACATCTTTATAATGGGATACAGGGGAGTTCTATGGCGTTGACAAAGGATGCATCGATAGTTACTCTATGTTGGATCAAGTATCATACCAAACACACAAATTTGTGTTGAGCGAGGATTTACAAAACAACATCAAGTCAAAGTTTTCATTGCTGGAGTACATTGGAAAGGGTTGAAAGGCTACTCGGTTCTTCAAAGATCGAATGGGAATATGTTTTAAGATTTACAATCAAATCGAAAGGTATACATATAGCGCCAGATCAAAGATCGATTCGTTTTCGCTTCGTTCTTGGGTTGCTCGAGGTTTCGTCTACACTATCCTCCTTCTTAACCTTTCGCTCCTCTTTTATTTCACTCCGTGGCCTCTTTCGTTGTCTGCACCTCTTCAGGTTCCCTATCCCTTTGCCCTCTTGTTTTATATATTTTGCTTCTTCGCTTTGTTCCCGCTCTTTTACTTCCAAACCCTCTTCAGCATTCCATGTTTTCTCTCCGTGGACACTAATCCAGTCCTTCAATTCCCTTTGAAACTTTTCCTTCAAAGCTTTGTACCCTTCATGCCCCCGGCACCTTGCCCACGTTTCTTTGAATATGCCACTAGCAATCAGTTTGTCTTCCTGTCCTTCATGCCCTTGACTCTTTTCTATTTCCACTTTTTCCCCATCCTTTCCAATATCGTACTTTCGTCCCCCTTTATGATTCGCATAGCGTTTCGATCGCGTCATACCCATTTGTATAAATTTTCTACTCATATCCATACCTACAAAATCATCTTCCTTGTAAAAACGTAGAAATTCTCCATACAAGGCGTTCGAAGACTTTTCTGCAATCGAGGGAGTTCGGAATCGCCAAAGAGGTAGGAGATAGGATTTGTAAGGCTCATACGTTAGGACTCCCTGTTCTCCTCGTCGAATGCGATAGGTGTAATATTGCGATGGAGGAGGACGGGTGAATTGACCGGGAGAAGGCAGGACATTGTCGATAGATTTGGAGGAACGTGGTGGCATTGTTGTGGTGGTTACTTTGCCGGATGCTGAGAATTGTGCCTGTGTACTGTGAAATATCCTGTGAATGTTCAATTTCTTCCTGGGTGCTATTTTACGTATAGTAAATACCTAGTAAGTCAAGTATCATGTTTTGGAGGTTCTAGTGGACTTAGATTTTTTCGATAATAGTCTGGAGGCGGAGTACATGATTGTGATACAGCATTGCCCTTGGACAGAGGGGGCAATGAAGTCCAACTACCTAGGTATGACGTGTTGTAAGTCTAAGTTAGCTTCATATCATTGAAATTGAACAATAAACAAATGATCGATCCAAGAACTTATGCATAGAACTCAATACTTGAGAACTGTTGGATTCTTGACTGTGTTAAGTAATATTCAATAGTAGAGTATTTGGTGACGCGACTGCTTTGGCTTTGTTTCCACACAACATTTTGATGTTGCCATCGCCCTTGATTTATAAGGCCAAGCTGTAGGTTTTTGCATCTCCCCGCATTTCCCCGCATCACTCTTCATTTTTTCAGATGCTTCTTTGAAGTATGAAGTCCCTCAAAAGTCTTGGATTTATAGTTTCAAATGACATGTCTCATTCTAGATCCGGAATCATCTTTATTATTTGGGAAGAATCAGCACTTTTACACGTCATGGTCCATAGTTGTTACCCTCCAGATGATGTATGGTGAAGTATCACGGTTCTGAGTTGACCACATCAATTTCTATAAATTAAGCTACCTTTCTCTGTTACATGTCTTTCATTAGAGTTCCCCTAATTATTTCATTTCAAATTTATTTTATTATAATTACAGCAATCCTTTCTCATCTTCGTTATGGCAGTTCTCGTCACCGGCGGTACAGGCAAAACATCTCTTCAATTGGCCCACCATCTTCAGTCCGCCTCCATCCCTTTCCTTCTCGCTTCTCGAAAAGCCAAATTGACTGCTCCTGATGGAATGCAAGCCATCAACTTTGATTATGCAGATCCATCAACTTATCAGGCTATCTTTACTCATTCCTTTCCACACGATGAAGTCATCAAAGCCGTGTATCTAGTGGCTCCAGAAGTTCCAGACCCAGTGCCTGTCATGAATGCCTTTATTGACGTCGCAATTAAGAATGGCGTTAATAGATTTGTCTTACTAAGTGGTAGCGATACGGAGAAAGGTGGAGATGGTACTGGAGGTGTTTGGCAGCACTTGGATGATATTGGCGTGGAATACTCAGTTTTGAAGGCCAGTTGGTCATGGGTACGTGATCCATCGTGTAGTACTATGATCTAGTGTTGTTAATCACCTTGAAGACAATTTCATCATCTGCCCATATGTTCAGAGCATTAAAGAAGAAAACAAATTCGTTTCCGCAATGAGCGATGGCCAAGCTCCATTTGTATCAGTGAGTGACATTGCCAGAGTAGCAATGGTTGCACTCACTAGCAAGAACCCCCCAGATCACGACTACAGAGTTCTTGGCCCTGAATTGCTCAATTATGATGAGGTAAGTATGTTATCCTCCAGCTCAATAAAACGATGGCTTATCAATTGTAGATTGCTGCAAAGTTGAGCAAAATTTTAGGACGAACAATTACCCACGTCAAAGTAACAGGTGAAGAGAGAATACAAATCTATGTCAGTATGGGGTTGCCTGAAGGTCTTGCATGTTATTTGACTTCATTGGAAGTTATGACTGCAAATGGCGGGGAAGTGAGACGAAATGATGTGGTAGAAAAGATTGGAGGCCACAAACCTAAAACCTTTGATGAGTTTGCAGAGGAGAATAAGAATCTCTGGATGTAGACCAATCTTCCATTGTCTAGTTTAAACAAGAGGGGTTTTATTTGATTGAAATACTATGTAATAATGCTTTGAATTTGACTTCACCTTTACACATAACCTGTAGTGAATATAACCAACGAGATCCACTCCTATTGATCACGATCACAAATCTTGAGGTACAAGTTGTACAACCGAGATCCTCAAGCTCTTCCGATTCTTTTACAATCCAATCTCTTTCAAGATTGACCCAAAGACTTCAACACTAATTCAAACAAGAAACTCGAACAGCCTCTCTTTTCTTCGATAGATCCACAAGAAATCATGACTTCAGGCAAAGTAGGCGGTCCACACCGGGCAGATGATCCCCAAGTCCAGGTTGATCAGAGTGTTATTGTAAGAACATTCCTTCTGCTTGAGTGTGCAAACTTTATTTAACTATGGTAAACTTCTAGCTGTCTGAAATAGCAACTTTGGAACTCAATGATGCAGCAGATCAATCGGCTGAGAAGCGTAAAGCTGAACGTAATCGACGAAAGAAATTGAATGCTAGGAAGAACAAGGCTGAGAAAGCCCGACAAGAATTCGAAGAACGAGAATTGTTGGGAAGCGCGAGTCAAGACACTAAAATTCCATCATCAGTTGGAAGTGGAAAGGTCTCAAAGTCTCTTGCAAGTGATTGCTTCGATGGCAGCAGTAGCATTGATTGTGTTGTTGGAAGCCCCGTTCTGGCACAGGAAAAGACCGAAGGTAATAGATGCCTTTTTTTTCTGCCCACACAGCAAATACTGACATTGATTCAGTATACTTCTCAAACGCCATGTTCGAAATCAAGGCAACCCCCGGAAAAGGTCTTGGGGTTTTCGCCGCACAAGATATCAAAAAAGAAACAGAGGTTTTGAGGGAAGCTCCTTTGATGAAATGTGGTCTGAACTGGCTCCTAAAAGAGGCCTTTTTCATGTCCCTCAATGAGGAGAAGAAGAATGTTTTGAAGTCTCTTCATAGTCATTGTAGCTGCAACGAGAACCCATGCCGAGAAACAACACTCATGAAGATTTACGATGTCAATAGCTTCGATATCATCAATGACAAACCGGAACGCACAAACTACATTTACCACTTTGCATCACGCATTAACCACGAGTGTCTCCCTAACATGGCTCGAGGAAACACTAAGAATGGAGAATTGGTCTTTACTACTGTACGGGACATCAAGCGGGGCGAGGAATTGACTACCTTCTACCAAGTACCTTTTGGCACCACCCTCGCTCGCCGAAAGATCTTATTATCTAAATACGGATTTACATGTATGTGTAAGGCCTGCATAAACAACAAAGTCCTCAACAATTATGGCGAGACTTTGAAATATGCTCCTTGGATTATCGCCAAAGAAAGTGGTTCTGAGATTCTCAATAAACCAACTTTGGAGGAGATGCAAACCGCGAAGGAAGTCGAAAGCTGGTACGAGAGTGTCTCCCAGGCAGCAGAAAAGGCCGTAAAATGTATGACGATTGCTATCGGCAGTGACCTTCTGCAAAGCCAAAGCACCCAGGAACGACGACACCTTATTGTTGAAAATACACTGCAGGTATTTGACGATTTTCTGCGAAAGAACAACCCCTATGGATTGAGCGATGAGGTTATTTCTGCCTACCGATACCGAGCAAGTATTTTAACTTTTAGAGCTGCAAAGCAAGTTTTCAACAGCATTGTGAGGGGGGTGGGAATTTCTGTGGAAGAATTCTGAGCACAGAAGAGAAATTTTCGGGGATTGATATTAATTGTGATCTGCCATGTTGGCAATGGGTTTTTCGAAGGAGAGATATCTTTGGTGTGAGAGATGCGTGATTTTTATAGCTAGGAAAGGGCCTCAGCAAAAGCTATGGCAGTTCTCATAATCTTCTAGAAATGAACTCGAAATTTGAAGCATAATCATATACCTTATTTGAAAGTCTTGACCTAAAATACCTCACGAGTTGTGTGACCGTAGAAAATAAAGATGCCGCCATCGCTTTTATCGAGGCAATGACGTGACGACAGCGTTGTGAAAATATCGAGAATTTTAACTTTCAATCCAAAGCTGTTGGCTGATAGGTTAATTGCTGATTAATTACGGAGTACACAGCAAGAGTAACACGAAAAGGAATTTGACGACAACGTTCTTAGATCATGATTTTGAGAAGTATTGCTACCATCAACAAATCAACATTCATGATGATTAATTCATTAATTCCTTTCCTTCTGGGAAGTTTACATCTCATTTCGTATGTGAAGAGCTCTTCATTTAGTCCTTCTCAAATACCCATGAATCCGAACGCAGAAAATCCCCGCCTCACCGAAGTTGAATCAAACCTCATTGGGCTTCACAAAGATCTCATCTCTATCGAATCCATTACTGGCAATGAGTATGATATTGGTCAATATTTGTATTCTTATCTTTCATCCCGCAATTTTACAGTTGAAACTCAACATGTCTCTCCCATCCAGTCAGTATCCAATGTCCAGAACGTGCATGACAAATCACGACTCAATATCTTCGCATATAAAGGGACAACACGAAATACTAGACTTTTAATCACAAGTCATATGGATACGGTCGGACCATACATTCCATATTCACGTTCCTCAGATGGAGACGAGAATAAAATTTGTGGTCGAGGAAGTACCGACGCCAAGGGATGTATTGCTTCTCAAATTATGGCCGTTGAAGAATTGATAGCTGAGGATTTAATTCATGAGGGTGATATCGCATTACTGTTTGTGGTCGGGGAGGAAACAGACGGTGCTGGTATGAGAAGAGCCAGTGAGATATTCCAGCAAGATGGCATTACATGGGAGGGTGTCATTTTCGGGGAACCATCGGAGCACAAACTCGTTCTTGGACACAAAGGTGCGCTAGCGTTTGAGATACTTGCTCATGGGAAGGATGCCCATAGCTCCTATCCAGAATTGGGAATAAACGCAATTAGTATTCTGATAAAGGCACTAGCCGAGATTGATAGAATGAGACTACCTGGGAGTGTCAAGTTGGGTGAAACGACCACAAGTATTGGGATGATACAAGGCGGTGTGGCATTGAACGTCATTCCGGCAACAGCATCAGCTTCCGTCTTGACAAGATTGGCAGCCGGAACACCGGAACAAGCTATGAAAAGGATCGAATCTATCATCGCGAGCCTCGATATCGATGAGGGGAGTGTGGAGGTGAAGCTTGGTCGTCATTTCGGTCCTGTGGACTGTGACGTTGATATAGATGGTTTGTTACAAAAGCTTCCCAAGACATGGACGGTGCTGAGATACTCAATTTTAGGTTTCGAGACGGATGTAAAGCGAGGAGGAACTGATGTTCCAAACCTGAAAGGAAATCATAAGCGTTATTTAATCGGACCTGGATCTGTAATTTCGGCACATTCGGATCATGAATGTATAACTGCTGATGGGCTTGCTAAAGGTGTAGATGATTATAAGAGAATCATTAGAAGTCTTATTGCAAGATAACTCAGGATATCCAATAGTTCAGATTACAGTTCATCATTTGAAAGCCTCTAGGATCCTCAAATTCTATTAGACATTGAAATGATTCATGAGATTTATAATCCTATTGTCGGAACCTCAAAGGTAGAAAGTTGAAGTTGACTGGAGTCCGGAGCACTGAGGAGAACAAGATGAGTCGGCTCAAAGGAATCATACAAGCAGTATTATTCGACGAATTGATTTGACTGTAACCTTGAACTAGATTCCTCAGTTTCTTTTTACTTAGTCATTGTCACCCAGAGCAATACTTTTTCGTCAAATTCTTTATACTGAGATATAAAGATTCATGATCCTGCTTGATGTTAGTTATCAGCTTATTATTCTAGCTTTGGTATATAGCGGAACTCAATGAAAGAGTATTTCGATGAAATTGTCACTCTGTTTGTTCTCAACTGTTGAGTAAAACAAAGAGGGACGGACTAGCGAATGTCTTTTTCCTCAACGTGAAATCCTTTATTTCGGTCAACGATTGGCTGATGTTACTGCTAACATTGTAAGACAAAGGAGTGAGATAGCCTGTCATATCAACGTTCTCAGTGACTGTTCGACAACTCTATTTTTTTGAAGATTTCATACAATTTCATATTACCCGTTGAGAGTTGAAAACCGACTTCCATTTCAAACATTTGCGGAGTTTTATCCTTTATTGAAACATGTGCTTACGAACGATGTGCCATTACCTTTTGTGTGATCAGACGCCACACTCCTGGATTATACAATCATGCAAGCCTCTTGGAATTTGCGAAAGGATACTCACTCAGAGGTTTTCTGTCGTCGACTTCTGCCCCGAATGTTTCATGTTGGAAGATCCCACGGCATCCCTTCCCAATCAAGTTGCGGTTAAAAGATTCGGCGAAGAGTATGAGTTTGATCGACTTCATTTCGAAGACTCCAACTTACCGGAGAAAGCCAATGCTGCGTTGAATCGAGCGCGTACCTTTGTAAATATGAACTTTGAGCCAGATGTCAGATATGATCTTGATATCTTTTGTTCCAACAAGCGACTCAACCTCGACGTTTATAGTCATCTTCATCTCCTCGTTTTCCAACAACTTTTACCTCATCTTTGGCTCACTGTTAGAGCTGGTCGTGCACAGGAAATTCCCCGAGAGCATAGAATTATAATATTGCAGTTAAGGCAGGCTATACTTCGAGATCTTGCATTTAACTCTGCAGAGAATAATTACAAGGAGAAGAAAGAGGAAGGAAAATGGAGACAAGCGATGGGTGCGGACGCCCCGCTCATTGCAGAAGTCTGCGTTAATCCTTCAACTGATAGATGCATGATATGCCTGGAATCGTTGAATAGCAGAGTGTGTCTAAAATTGAAGTGTAACCACACGTACCACAAAGATTGTCTTGCACTGATGGCCGAGTTCAAGGGATGCGCCATCTGCAGAGATGAATGCCGTGGTCCATTGCCTGATATATCAGTAGAGAATGATGGCCCATGGCCAGAATGGTTACAAGCGATCGCTCCTCCTCAACGCCCACGAGTGCAGGAAGAGCTTCTTGCGCAGCCTCCTCCTACAGATGAGGAAATAAGTGGATTAGAGGCGGCTTTCAATCAAACTCAAAAAAGAACTGCAGAGTTGTACGAGAGTGTGTTGAGCAATCAACAAGATCTTTTGAATGCCAGACTCAAAGTGGAAGGCAGTGAGTACAGCATGAAAGAAAAGGCGTCGAAGATAAGTGACCTTGAGTGGGACGAACATAACAGTCGCATGGCTGTTAACTTAGGCGAGGGAAAGGAACCGATAAGCGAAACATACAAGCGCTATGAACAATCGCTGTACGTGAAGAGGTTGGAGGTAATGGATCGCGAGCTCGATCATATAATTAGCCTTGAGGAATACAATAGGTTACCTTCTGATCCCACCCAAGAGGTCAATCATAGGATATATCGACAGAAAGAGTGGGTAGGCGCGCGAAGTCTATATTATACTCAGCAAAGAAAGCAGGTATTAGGACAGGCATTGGAAAGTGTTTACTACAATATTCTTTCCTTTGACGACACGTATAATCTCAGCTTTCTGAGGGAGGAGGAAGGCGAAGCGGAGGAAAGGTTGAGTCAATCTGAACACCTATGGAGACAAAGCATAGTTGCGCGGGATGACGCAAAAGATAGATGGGACTTTGCTCTATATCATAAGTCTTTGTTTGAATCCAATAACTAATGCGATCAATCCATATCGAACAAAACGAGAGATTTTATATGTTGTATTTAATCAGAGATAGGGAACAGCAGTGTGAAATTTGAAAGGGTCAGTTTCTCGTATAATTTCACGTAAACAATATTTTAGTTCCTTTCTGGTTGGAATGCTGTTGGTGTGATCTTCTATTTGAATTGAATACAGTGGAGTTTTGACGACATTAAGAATTTGTATATTAAATATATTATAGATCTTTCATTACTTTACATCATTGAAATATTATTTTAAATCAATCGTAGAGTGATGGTATAATGGTGATGCCTTCCAAAGAAGTCATTCAACTTCAAGGAAAGTTATTTTCCATCCACTAGATCTAGAAATTTAAGAAAATAGAGAATGCCGAAAAATGATGACAATAGGGCTTTGGTGTACAAGACTAGAAAACTTTCCAGGCCTATATGTCTTTCATTTTAAACCAGATTAAATTCCCACAAGATATTTATTTGACGTAGCACAGATGCAACTGTTGAGGGCGTGAAAGTCGCTATACTTCTCAGACCAGTGCCATATATCACTTGATATAAGATGGGAGTTTTGCTGAAAAGATCTTATCAATGAGAGAAAGCCGCGTTGAAGAAGATATTCACAGTTACTATCGTGAACGAGGAAGGAGGAAGGAGGAAGGAGAGCAACCGCAAAGAAGAAGGTAACCTTAGCGCGAACATTAAAACGATGAATTGTATCGAAATGAGAATCCATTGGGCCTTCGTTTGCAAGAGTAGATTTACTCAGTCAGACTTGGATTGATGGAAACATGTAAAGATCCAGAATAAATGGTTTGGCTGCTGTGATCTTCCAGAATTTGAGTGATGTGATAAAATTCATGGGTGCCAAGCTGAGTAAAATGAATGACCCCGGCCAAAAGGTAATTGCAAGGTAACCTTCATCATGTGATCTACTACTCTTAATCACAAATGTATCCTCTGAACATCAACAATCAAACGAGCTTGAATTCCTAAATTCATTTTTATCAATAATTCATCATTCAATTCTTAATCTTATCTCCCCTCCAACTCTTTGCCATTGCCTACTATTGATTTTTAATCATCTCAGGCACATGACCACCCAGCTCCCTAGCTATGTTCATAGCACAACACATCCCACCACCTTCCTACTTGGCACCGGTACTTCAATATGGTCTTCTCTCCTCCCACAACTCCTTTCCACAAACCACGAACTCATTCTCGTGACCTGCTTTTGGGCTTCTTCCTCTAGCCAGCACGAGATTTGTCAACTCCTCCTGAGACTATCGGAACGTGCGGTAGCAGATCAGAAAACTATCCATATCCGGATTTGTTTTTCATCTCTCTCAATATCGCAAAAGATATTTCACACCCCTTCCCCTGACGGACATTTGTACCCATCATCTCAGTATCCTTCACTTGGACTTCCATCTGAGTCGGATATACCGGGATTAGATCTACGTGTCAAGTCGATATTTTTCCGTCCATGTCATGTTTTGCATGGGAAATATATCATACAAGATACTCGACGCATTTGGTTTCCAAGTTGTAATGTGAGTTGGGAACCATGGGGAGAAGGATGTATTGGATTTGAACGCGGGGAACTGGTAGAAGATCTGCGGAGTTATTGGAGCAGGATCTGGAACGGCGATGGCCAAATGACAATTCCCGAAATGTCGTGGACGTCGACTCAGCTAGCAGAGAGAAGTCCATCGATACATGCCGAGCTATGGAATCCAGATTCATCATTGTTAAGTGTCGTCGACTTATCAAACCTTCCGCAAAATACCGAAACACTTCTCCTTCCACATACTCACTCTGCGTATAATCCATTCTCTGTTATTTTTAGACCAAATGCAAAAATACCCTCAACACCACTCAATAAATTCTTGCTATCACAAATTTCAGCAGCAAAAACATCAATAACAATCTACACTCCAAATATTACATACACACCAGTCATAAATTCAATATTCGAAGCATTAGATAAAGGTGTTGATGTCCGCATTGTGGTCTCGAGAAGGCTGATGATCCTAGAGCAATTAGTAACAGCCGGCACGATCACTGAATGGGAGGTATGGAAGATGAAACGTCGATATCGTAAGCTTGTATCTCGCTCATCACGGAGGGTCGATGACATTGAAGCCGGTAATTCTAGAATAGGAGCTTTAGAAGTTGTGTATTTCAATCCCGCTCTCGTTCGTATGAGTGATTCCCATAACCGGAATACGATGACTGATGGAACACTGGCGAGAGGATTTGAGAGCATGGGAAAGGAGAGCAAGCCAGTCAAACTTCATCTCAAAATGACGATAATTGACAATGAAATAACCATTCTTGGGAGTGGCAATATGGATCGGGCGAGTTGGGTGACTAGCCAGGAGTTGGGAGTCGCAATTTTTTCTGGGGAAGTATCTAATAAATTGGTCGAAGTTGCAAGGGGGGTTTACGGATGAATGGATAGTTGCATGGTAGGTCTTGTGGTGTACATTGAATCACCACAGAATAGCGTATTGATGGATTAGAAAAGGGCAAGCATTGCACATGCCATGGCACTAGGATACGAATAGAAAATAGAATGGATAATCATTGATACGAAAACGGGTACATTATTACCGCGTGTAATCTTTTCTGAATGTTACAATTCATTTGTGGATAAACTATTGTCACCTTGAGGTATTCTTCCTAACGCCTTCATATATGCATCATCACATACTATGACATGCTCCTTAAACCCAGAGTCGAAAGTTAAAATTCTTCCACCGCACAATTAGGATGTAATACATAAACAACTGATTCCTCTGACCTCGAACTGCCCTCCCCATTCGTGTTATCCTGATCAACCAATCCTTGCCCACGAATTGCCATCAAAATATTTTCCTGTAGAATCAAATGTTAGTCCAAAATCCACAGAGCCTTTCATGTACAACGAGCTGAAGCCACGAAGAGGAGTAGAAAAGGAATGAAAATAGTAACGAACCTTAAGCATCCTCTTGATAATCTTTTTACACAATTTCATTTCTTCATGATATGCCTCTTCATCAGCTAGATCACCTTCGATCTGCTCCAAATACCACTCTACCAACTTCTCTCCCTCCACCCCTTCACCGCTACCCAACTCATCTTCATTGATCCTCCTAACCAATAGGTTGACCACTCCAATGTATTTGTCATAAGTAATCTTTGTCTTTTGTCTTCCATCTCCTTCAGCTGGCGGTACACTTTCATTGACGTCCTGGGTATCTTCATCCATGGCGTCATCTGCATCATCATTCGCAGCTGGAGCTGGTAATTCCTCCTCATCATCATCAACCTCAACATCATCCTTCTCAACACTGATGATACTCTGTCTCAAAAGATTAAAGGCTTCAACAACCATCGGCTCGGTGATTTCCTCAACACAATTCGCCTTTGCAATAGCCTCACTTAATCGAATCATACTCTCCAATTGTCTGACTGTAATGCGATAACTGTTTCTACCAACGCCCCCTTGAGCATCATCATTCCTCAGTTCTTTGTATTTTTGTACCAGTAATTCTTTAGCTTCATCCGTGAACTCTGGCTTAAAGGTTTTGGCGAAACGGATGTAGCGCTGGAGTTGCTCGGTCGTGAATTCGGGCTGCACTGCTTCGTCACGAAGTTGATGGATCCCTACAATATGTTCTGCTAGATGGCGATCCACAGTTTCGTTGCATTCATCCAGAATCACAAAGAACAAATCGAAACGCGACATAATAGGAGCGCTCATGTTAATATTAGCTCTCAATGTCGTCTTTCGGTTGTACCTTCCTCCTACTGGATTTGCAGCTGCGAGGATCGAGGTTCGAGCATTCAACGTGGCTTGGATACCTGCTTTGGCAATGGAAATGGTCTGTTGTTCCATAGCTTCGTGAATGGCGACTTGATCACTGATATCCATTTTATCGAACTCATCAATAGCACAAATACCATTATCTGCTAACATCAGTGCTCCAGCTTCAATAGTGAATTCTCCTGTCTCCTCGTCTTTGACTACAGCAGCTGTGAGACCCGCAGCCGAGGAGGCCTTTCCAGATGTATAGACAGCTCGAGGAAGAAAAGAGCAAACATATTTGAGGAATTGAGATTTCGAGGTGGAGGGATCACCAACAATGCAAATATTGATATCACCCCTAAGTTGCATTCCTTCCGGGGTAACTTTGGAAACACCGGACATAAGTTGAAGGAGAAGACCTTTCTTAACAATTTCATGTCCGTAGACCATGGGAGCGAGTGAATTGACGAGACGTGAGTAGATGTGATCTGAATGAACCATTTCTTTGAGATCCTCAATTTCGGCATGTGTCATGGATGCAAGAACAGCTTCCTGGGCATGATCTCCAGGCTCGTTAGGGTCAATAGGAGCCGTTTGATTAAGGGATGCGAGAATATTATTGGATTGTCCGTTGAGTTGTTGATTTGCTGCTGCCCCCTGGGTGGAAGTATCGGGTGTAACCATGCATGACAAGAAAGCAAGTCTGTATGTAAGATCTCTTACACCGAGCGCTTTCAATCCAGTGACACCGCTTGCATCGCCACTTCGATTTTGTGTATCTCTAATCGCCATTGGTCGAACACCAGGTAAACCAAGTTGACTAACATCGGGAACCACAATAAGAGCACCCGTGAAAATACATTTCTCTCCAGCCTTCGCACGATCGACAATTTCTCCACGAAGAATAACATCCATAGTTCTTGGCATACTTCCAGTAGGGATTTCCGAACTATTCTCCTGCACACGAACTTTCTGCCAATCCACAAATGTACTCTGTCTGATATCTAGTCTCCATGCTTGACGATTGTTACACTCCAAATTCGGACATTGTGTAGGTTCGGTATACCTGAAGGTTTGTTCGACATTTGGTACAACATTTTTGCAGTTTTCGCATATGAAAGTGGCTAGAGAGAGTTCAGGTCGGACTTCCGAAGTTCTCGTAACGGTGCCAGAGATAGATAGAAGTTGTCCAATGTTTGCAGTTCTCAAATGACGTACTCGAGTAACTAAAGGCAAGTTATAAAAGGCTAATGCAAACAATTTATCCGTTTGTTGATTTGTGGTCTTGTCTCCTTGGAAATCGGATTGACTTGCAGATGCGGCATTGCTTGCCCCAGATGAAGTTTGATTACTCGATGCAGTGGGCTGACGATGATCTCTGAAATATCTCGGTTCGTATTTGGCGATCATGTTGTGTAAAGCCTTCGTAAGGAATGGTAGGAATCTGTAGTATTCTTCAACGATACCCTCTGCCAATGCGCCACCTTTGTATGAAGAGAGGTGTGTATAATCGACATATAAAGTAGACAATTGATATGTTCTCAGCCCATGAATTTGCGCAATATAGTATTTATCGGTGGTCATCGCAGATGAAGGAGTTGCGCCGGAGAGTATTGGATCTTCAACATATCTGTAAAGGCATTAGATGTGCGATGGTTAAAACAAGGGCAAAACTCACGACTCAAGAAATTCTTCAAATGTGAGTTGTACATATTGCCCAATCGCATCCTCCACTCTTGGTATTGGCCTATCACTCTTCCTCGGACGGTTAGTATTTTGTGGAATAGCATCATCTGCGAAACCTTCATCATCACTCATAGCACCAGCGCTCTCAGATGGGGGACCTCTTGGTCTACCAGATGCTGAAGACCCCCTATGTCTACGAGCCTTTGGAGTTCCAGCTCTTGAAGAATTTCCAAAGTCTGGTGTTGGCGCATCGGACATCATTACAGATGCCATATTGTGCTAAAATTGAAGGAATGGCGAGTGGGTTGGTTGATTAATGAATTGTTTGTTGTTGTTTACTCTGGAGGGGCATAAATTCAGGAGTCGTCAAAAATTCCACGTCGCGTTGCCAAAAACACGAAGATTTCTATCTTAGCGCGACCAAGTTACCGTAATAGATTGATTTTCGACACACCACCACCTAGTAGCTAGGGTACGGTACGTGATACAGACTTTACACGCAATGTACTAGTAATTTTCCACTTGTGCATCACACAGTCTTACCAATTGCAAATGCCAGATCCTCTCTTCATTACAAGCCATTGTGCAGTATTACGAATCGTGTTGTTCCTTCATAGCATTAAAAATCCTTACCAAGTCCACCACTTAGTATCTCAAAAAATATCAATTGTGAGTTCGTGGGCAGATGAGCTGATCTTGACTCTTACGACCAGAATTCTGGAATCGTTCTTCAAAAGAAGGTCCTTGCAAGAAAGATGGCAACGCAAGAATAAGGACGAGAATGTTTGTTTCAATCTCTGTGGTCGCGGAAACGGGATGGCCAAGAGCGTGAAGCCTTCTTCGGCATTGACTGCTTGCTTATTGCTCATGTTGCCCTATCATGAATATTTTGAGGGGATGCGGACCGTCTTCACTTGGCTCAATAATCCTACCAAGAATTTGCCGCAAGAATCTCGACGTTAACAAGCGTATATTATCACTGAGTTCCTAGCAGCATCAAATGCGATATTGATAGGACGATGAATTGTGATTCGTCTGCTCGCCCTTGGCAGGACTTGGGAGCCTTGGAGCGCAGCCATCAATGTGCTGTACCAATCACAAGTGTGAAATATTGTACCACAAATAATTCTGATTTGATCATTCTGGATTGCAACAAGACATCGGCGCAAAGACCTAAGACTACAAGAACTTCGAGAACCGCCTCTCATCTCTTAACCACCTTCCTCATCAAGAAGGGCGGATGCTCCCAGTGATCATGAGGCACGGCACGCATCTCGAGAATATGTTAATTTTCCAAATTCAGGTACAGGCCCGAGAAAGCTCTTGGGGCTCTGAATTGAGGTTGTCGTATATCGCAGTATGAAGGGTAGGGTGTCGAGACTCCTCAACCAAAAATCATGATGGTAGGCTATCATCGGGACCCAATAAGCAGGAAATGTAACCTTTAGGGATGCTGCATGTGAATACGACTTCAAATACCAAGGAATGGAAATAAATATTTATCATGCCAAGTGTTGCATTGGGTGACATGAAAATGGTTAGTGAATTTTGACACCATGTCGTGCTACCCATGATATATTCTCCTGATTCCCCTCAATATCATCCCATTTTAATTCATTGTTATCATACTTGTGATTCATTCAAGCTTTTTCACTGCGAACTCTACCCTCGGCTGTATGAACTCAAGAGTCACTTGTTGATGGTACTTTACTTTGATCGTACTGCATTTTGGCTTTCATGAACCTCATTTTGACACCCATCTCGAACTCTACTGCGAAACTCTTTACCTAAGGCATAAAACATGAGTACTTATTCCTCATCACATCAAATCCATTGATAAGGCGCCATCTACTAACACAAAATTTGTTAGCTTCCATGGCTACTACTACTGATGCGCTCACCAGTGCTCCAGTATATCAGACCGGTCTGTTGGCAAATGCGCCAGATAACCTTGATGCCAAAATCTCAAGCGAAATTCATGCGTTCGATCATGAACCTTCCCTCGATGAGGATGGACTATTACGTCCCACTGAAGAAGAGAGAACTACACTCCGCAGAATTTCTGGCTCAATTCCATGGACTGCTTATATGATCTGTCTCATCGAATTTGCAGAGCGCGCAAGCTATTATGGTTGCCAATTTGTCTTCTCGAACTTTGTTCAATTCCCACTCCCGTATGTCTCCATATCTCCACGAAGATTTTTAACTTTCGTCCACTGCTGACGGAAATAATAGCAAAGGAGGAAATGGAGCTGGCGCAACCCCCAAAGGTACTCAGCTTACACCAGGCGCTTTGGGTAAAGGCCTTACTGTTTCATCTGCCCTTGGTCTCTTGTTCAAATTTTTAGCATATACAGTACCTGTCTTTGGGTTCGTTCAGCACTTCTTCGTCTTTGGTTATCTCTTGCTTACATAGACCTACAGAGGATGGCTCGCAGATACAAAATTAGGACGTTTCAAAACTATTTGTATCGGAGTTTTTGTCTTCGGAGTTGCGCATCTTGTTTTGGTTCTTGGAGCCTTACCTAGTGTATTACAAGCTGGTCACGGCATGGCACCATTTGTTATTGGAATTTTGATCTTGGCTTTGGGAGCTGGTATGTCTTATGAGATGCATCTAAAAGTATAATGCTGAGTGAAACCTCAGGTCTATTCAAGAGTAACGTTTCTCCCATGCTTCTCGACCAGGACACACAAAAGGGACTCATAGTCAAGACTCTCCCCGATGGGGAGCGTGTTATTCTTGACCCTGAAGTTACTGCTCAGAGACTCGCTCTAGCCTTCTATGGTATGGTCAATGTTGGCGCATTTTTTGGTCTTGCTACAACATATTCCGAGAAGAGAGTTGGGTTCTGGCTGGCTTATGGATTACCAATGGTTCTTTACCTCTTACTTCCGATATTGCTATGGGCAATAAATAAACGACTGGTCAAATATCCACCGCAAGGAAGCGATCTCGGAAAGTTTTTCAGAGTTATCGGTACCTCCCTGAGAAGAAATGGTCTGAAGAAATTCGGGCGCAAGGGTTATCTCGATGCTGCAAAACCTTCCGTTCTCGCTGCAGAAGGTATCACTGGTGAACATAATGGTAAGCCAGTAGACTGGGATGACAATTTTGTCGAGGATGTCAAACGATCTTTGGAAGCCTGCACTATTTTCTTGTTCTTCCCAATCTACATCTTGAACGATGGAGGTATAGGAAACATTACGACATCCCAAGGCTCAGCAATGGTAACCAACGATGCACCTAATGATATTCTCAATAATTTCAATGCTCTTACTGTTATCGTTTCCATCCCCATTCTTTCCTACGGAGTTTATCCACTTCTCCGTCGCCATAAGATTCATTTCGGTCCTATCAAAAGAATAACATTTGGTTTTCTTATTGCCGCGGTTTCATCTGCCATTGGCGCGATCACTCAATGGAGAATCTATGAAACATCACCGTGTGGGTATTATGCCACTGGTTGCGAAATAGGAACCGGTGTTGCTCCACTCAGTATCTGGTGGCAACTTCCTCAATGGATGATTGGAGGTATATCTGAATGCTTTTGCAATGTCACTGCCCTCGAACTCGCCTATTCAAGAGCTCCTGCAAATATGAAAGGTCTTGTCACTTCCATGTACTTGTTTGCTACAGCTCTCTCTGCCGCAATTGCACAAGCTTGTACCCCGAGTTTAGTGGACCCGTATTTGATTTGGCCTTATGTTGCACCAGCGGTATTGGGAACTTTAATGGCAATCTGGTTCTACTTTTTGTATAGGCACCTTGATGACGATGAGTATGTTAGAGGTGGCGTCGGTGATACTTTGGGTGAGGAACCGACGGTGGAACGTAGGGAGCCAATTAGGACTGGTGATGCTATTCAAGAAGTTAGACCAAAAGAAAAGGTTTAATCGTGGCTCATTGTCAGTCGAACCAGTTTTCAAGATGTAGGACTTCAGATGGTGCCTTTATCTGAAATTTGCGCGCGTTTCTTTGGTAACGGTGGCCGGTCAGGGTTTTCACTATTTAAGTAGTTTTTGATGAATGAAACAATGTCATTGAGATAGTATGGTTAATGGCTGAAAATGAAGGTTAGTTGTCAAATGCTCAAAGTGGGCGCCCATTCTGTCATTTTGAACCAGCATGTACCACATAGCAGTTAATTTCCTCATCATTGAAGTGAAATTTCCTATTTGAACATCTTTCAACATCTTCCAACACAGAAAAGTATGTTATCTTGTATGTGCAATAGAATACTTTTTACGACTCACTCCACTACACCTAGCCGTATGCTGGTATTTTTTGGAATCTGGAGAAACATCAAGTCGCATCGAAGAGTAGTAATGCAGTAGTCTCGTCGCGATAGCAAGCTACTAAATAGACCCGCATTCGCGGTGTAAGGAGTGGATTCGAGTGAAATGGTTCCCTATGGATCAAAGCAACGGATTCTGCGTCCTGGATCTATCAATAATGGGGCTTACCGGAATTAAGCTGTGTTAATTCGGGTCTATATTCGTTTGAGATATATAGGTCCATGATCGATTGAGCAATGGGACATGTACAACCAACTCCCCGCGTTTTGTTTGTGTGAAGACGAGATTTACAAGGCAATGGGACTATTGGGTTCTATCATATATCGCAAGAAGCAAGGTTACATTCGTGCACTTTGCATGGAATAAACAGAGGATGCAATGATAAAATGTTGAATTAAGCAGTGACAAAGTACTTGATTAAAAGAGTCCCATGATACAAGACAAGTACCTTACATTATAGAAGATTACAACTGTGAAAGTCCATTCTTGTTTGCCCCACCGCCGCCTACCACCTTGTATACTAACCACATGCAAATCAAACATCTTTTGCCAACAGATACAACTCCCAACACCTAGACAAAGTATTCAAGCAACCGTTATGGCTCTAATGTAGCCATTTAGGCTTTAAAGGCTGCGCATTGAGCAGGATGGCAAATGTTTATCGGGGCAGTATCCCCTACGCAACGTGTGCAGACACGGCCATCGCAGCACTTGACGGTATCTGAGCAATATCCTGTTCAAACCCCCCATGGTCAGTCTCGTTTGTCGAAATATGAAAATACAAGCTGTGAAAGAAGCCGTATGATTTTGTGACTTACCATATATTCCTGAACAGAATTCATTCGCCGCCTCTCTACTCTCTTTAACGAGATCTCTCTTGCTCAGGTCATCTTGAGGCCCACTTCTAGCTCCTTGAACATCTGTAACGGTATCAGCTGGAATGCCGGGAAAAGGGTGAGATTACGTCAAACATACATCCGATCTCAGTAGTGGCATCAGGCGCGGCTGCAAGTTGACTGGGCATGGCCATGACCGAAGCCAAGAATAGTGTAGTTGCAAAGAGGAGCTTCATGGTGGTGATTTATTGATGGCTGGTAGGCTTGCACTGTTATAATGTATGTAAAGAAAGCTTGATGGTATGTATGGACGACTTGAATGATTGAAAAAATAAGAAGATATAAGCACCTTCTTATACACATTAACTTGAAGGTAATCATGAATGAGCCTCACTTTGTTCGATTTCGTTTCGGCACTAGTATTCTCCTAATTGAGGTGAAGATAATCAGGTGTAAACTATATACAGATGATTTCAGTATAAGCTTTCTGACATTTTGAGACACGGGTGGCGATCGTCCAACGACTATACACAAGGCGGAAATAGACGAAATGAAAATTGGCTCTAATGTACCGTGTTTCATATTTCATTTGAGAATACCTCCATCAAGAAAATATGATAATGCTGTAATCTATGATTATCATGAATTCTGCATCATACACGGAGGTATATACTACCAATCTTATCTCACCGCATTCGAATTTCAATGTTGATTTGTATGCGCAGAATGAGTCGATTGATGGTAAATCGAAGGCGGTGAGACTGAAATTAGAGAATTCACCTCCATTTAGAACCATGCTCTAGTACTTCTTTATGGATCGATGATCAATATATACAGTAACCATAAGATTGTTATCAGTCAGATATAGGACATTTTATGATGATACAGTCTTAATGGGAGTTTGTAGAGAATTATTTGGTAGACATGTTTCTTCATTGAGAATATTAATCAGTACAATGACAAGAAGATGTCATAGAGTTGTGATCTAGACTTGAAATTCTCTGATCATAGACGATCAGTACAAATATGATAGTTGGAAATTCTCCGACTGTAAGGGAAAATAAATTTTGTGATGTTGTTTCCCCAGACGACTTGTCTCAGATTGAATCTTGATCGACCAACCTCACATTCACGTTAGAACGGGAATTAAGCTCAAATGTCTCCAATTTCGATAATTGACGTAGATCATAATTAAACTACTTTATGAAGCTTTTCTACTTACTTATAAAAATGAAGACAATTCCTTGTATCATTCAATTGAAACCCCACTTTAAAGTTTAACTTGTATGTTTAGGATTTTGACATTCACTATCGTTTCTTAATTATATAGTAGGAAATGATTAGATAATATTTCTAAGACTAAAATATAGCGAAAATACTACACTCGGTACAATAGAATATCATACAACTACTACACCCGTACGATTATACCGATATCTACTTCCTTCCTTTCTTTTTATTTAACCGTTGCTTGAGATTCAATATTCTTGGACATGAAGTCGTGTGCCGACAATCAATGTACAAATCAGAAAGTACAACTTTTCCCTATTGTCTCTTTCCCTTCTCTTTCTTTCATGATATATAAATTTTATAAAATCTGTGTCAAGATTCTAACACCAAATTATCTAAGACCATGAGCATAATTTGGTATCAATAGCCAGCACCTGTGCGCCAATCCTAACCCTCCCGTTCACAGGTACATTCGACGCCCCACTTGTAGTAACATACAAGATATGACTATCCCATGGCGTGAGTCCAAAAGCCGCAGCTGTTGGTCCTGCTACAATCGTAGAATTGAGACTACCTGCCATAATCTCGGAAGTAATCGGACCCCGTGAATCTACCGCAGGCGCAACCACGCGCTCGATAGAATTTCCAGAGCCAGTCGTAATATAAGCAATGGTGTCGCGGAGCGCAAAATCGTCGTAGAACCAAGTAGAGTTTGCCTCGTGGGACAAGATTTCAACTGCTCCACCTGTAACTTCTGTGCCGTTTTCGTGGATGGGAAAACGTACAAGCATGCCTAGACCTGTATTGGTGAGGTAAGCCATTCCGTCTTCAGTTTTGATGCCGTTAACGCCTACAGCCCCAAGGTTGGTGTGTTGATGTGCCTGTGTGTAGGTGTTGTTGATGGCAATGAAATATTTGCCGGAGATGGGGTCTAGATTGTAGACCACGCCAGCGACGACATCGTTGACGAGCACATTAGACGGCCCAACGCCCCGCCGAGGCAAGGAAGTCATGCCGTTGAGAAATTAACCTGAAGAAATGTTTGCAATGGTGGACGACGTTGCTGTGGTCTGCGTTAAATTTAAAGAATCGACACGATAAGTGCCAATGACTGGACCTGTACTCGAAGAGAAGCCGCCACCATTTACGGCGTAGATATCACGATCATACTCGGTGATGCCAAATATGGTGAGGCCATCGAAGTCATGCACAACTTTCGGGGTATAGTTTGAGTACAGGGGGTCAATGCTATGGACTGAAGAATTATAAGGCAGTGTAAGAAGAAGCTCGCCATTAGGGCGAACTGCGATAGCCTCGACGAATGTTCCGAGTGGGTATTCGTAAAGAAGGCGAACGGTTGTTTCTTTTCCAGAAGAAAATGCTTCTGGTTTCTGGTGTGGTGGATTTGCAAGTGCTAAAGCAGGAGCGGAAGCCCATGAGAGCAAAAGCGTGATGGTGTTGAATAACATGATGTCGGCACTCTCAAGTTTTCTGGCCAATGAGGATAGGCAGATTGATGAAGAGGATTGCTATGATCGAAGTCACTGATTAACGTATACATATATATACGTGCATACAGACAAATGGCAAAATATCGGATTTATCGTATCTTGTATTGGGATAGATTCAACATCAAGTCAGGAAAGCTGAAGAAAAATTTGTCTCTCAAGATTTACATAATAGCTTCAAAGGAAATCGGCAAAAAATCCGCTTCACCTGAAATCTGCTCGCAAATGTGAATATTCAAACAGCTTGTAATGGGAAGCTAAGTTTATATCTCTTGGTGCTCCTTTTTTGCCCCTCTTCGGAAATAAAGTGAAGCAGATTGTTGGCAGTTATCGAACCTGCTCAAGAACAGATTCTGGTTCTTGAATAGACGTCAGGCTATGTATGGTTCTCTATAGCAAAGACAGAATTATGCCGGATTTGTGAAAATTCTTGACATAATACTTGTCTGCAACACTTTCAACACCAGCTTGGTTGGCCCTAGAAACCAAGCTAGGAGGACCGAGTATTTGAAGTGGCTATACCTAGATATAGAATTTTTTGATTTATGCCCTATTACCCTTCGGATCTGGTAGAAGTATCAGGGGATATATAGGGATCCAGTCGACTTGCTCGTCAATGGATACAGCCGCAAATAAATCAAATAACATATAATAATGAACCTCATCCTGTAACTAGGAAATTACAACACCTGGATGTTTCAAATTTCTTGTGAACAACACCCTCAGCGGACATGGCTCCACGATGTATTGTTACTCTTGAAGGTTTGCTTTTATAATAATAATAGTGAAAGCTCTAGTCAATTCAAGCTTAGTAACGAATCGAACATATAATATAAGAGTTAAATTGGATTCAATTTATAAGAACTAGGCTAAATTAAGATGAAATTGCTTGATTTTTCCTAGGTTTTCTTTAAAGAATTATATAGATTTATATAACTTATAATGAAGTTCTAGTAGTTTTCATACTTATAAATAAAATCGATTTAAATTATATCTTATAGAATTATATTATATTATAAAAAGAAAGTATATCAATCAATTTGATTTATTTTTTATTAATAGTTTTCTATATACTTTTATTTCATTCTATTCTATTATAAAATCAATTTAAAAAATATATAATATTATATAACTATATAATACAAGCTTTAGGATTAAGAAAATAATGTTTTCATTTTACGAACTAAATTTGATAAAAAAATATTATATTTTAACATATTACGAATTACTAAAAACTATAATAACAACTTTCAATCAATTACATATTATTAGAAATTTAACGTTTGATTAAAAGATTGATTAAAGTTATAATCTATACTAAAATTTAATATTATATATTATATAGTTGATTTATTATTGATTTATAAAACAATTTCATTATATTAGAATTGCTATAGATTAGAGTTGATACTATTGTAAAAGAGTAGAAGGTAGGAGGGTTGTAAAGTTATTCTTTATAAATACTACAAATAAGTTACTGAGATATAGTACTTTTAGTAGAGGAGAGGAAGAGTAGGCTCTACATAGTGTATTACAAAATATACGAAAAGACGGGTGGGAATTGATTACTTTCTCTAAACTATATAAAGAAGACCTATAAATACTAGCTACAGAAAGAGGTCACGTGACTAGTACCAAGTTTCGCTCACACTATCAATTACTTACTAGTAGTTGATTATATTATAAATAGCTAATAAGCAGTAAGATGATTTCAAACTCTTCTGTTACAGGGTATATATAGTAGTAAGCTATTAGGAAGCGATCCCTAATACTATATCTTTTGAACAGATTGAGTATATAGTATAGTAGTAAAGCTTACAACTCCTATTATATCCGCTTATATAACATCTTCTTTGATTTAAAAAAGAAAATCAAGAATTATTATAAATAAAGAATAAAGTTATTATTTACCTATTTATTTTCAAACTAATATATATTTATCTCTATATATAAACGAAATCTATCTTAATATAATCCTTCTAAATATTTATTAATTTTACTTATTACTCCCTTCTTATATATACTCTTTTTTTCTTAATATCAATTAACTATTAATCTAATAGTCGATAGAATTACTAATATAAGTATCTTCAATTTCCTAATAAAGATATTAATAGATCTATTCTAAATTTTACAACTCGCTATCCCCTAGAGTACGAAAATTCGGCGCCCTCGCTTAATAGGTATCTTAGTAATCAATTAGAACATTAAAAAACTAAGAATTTAATTATATATTTATATACAATCTTTAATATAAAATCTTTTTAATATTACTTCTATTTTAAAACTTTAAAGAGAATAATATATATTAATTTGTAGTCTTTCAAAAGGTGAATTTTTTTTAAAAAACTATAATTTGAAATCAAGATTCCTATTTATAAATAGAGTGATTAAAAAAGCATTACAAAAGTCAATCTAATTAATTATATTTCTTTATATAAGATATATTATACGGACTTTAATATGTACTATTTACTCGTACTCTAGGGGATAAGAATTCCCTATATAAGAATAATCTTTTTTTTCTAGAAAAAATTTATATTAACAAAAATTTAGATTTGAAAATAATTAAATAACTTTCTATAATCTCAAAGAAGACTATAGAAAATAATATTCTTCTAGTAAGATTTAGTTAGTAAGTTAATTATAATAAGTAACTAATCTTAATAAAGGAGTAATAACTCGACGGAAAATATAATACGATCGATGAATTTAATTCGCTTAGAAATTGATAATCTTATAGTATTGATTACTCTATAATGAATTAATGTTTATTTGATATAAGATTTTAGAATCTAAATTGAATTCAAGATATCTTTATAAGTAGGAAATTGATTTGAGAAAAAGAAAAAAGTTGTTCAAACTATATTTACTTAGTATTGATTATATAACTGAGTTTAATAATTCTAGTAGCTATGTATAGGAGAAAAGACGTAAAGAAGAATTATTTTATTAGTATCTAGTATAGTATTACGAGGCAGGCGGGCAGGATCAGGAATCTATAATAAATAGTGCTAATAACAGTAGGTACAGGGTGTAGACGAAGACGTAGCTCGAAGAGCTACGATATAGGATCTTCCAGAGTAAAGATATATAGAGTTTTCAGATGTAAGCTAGCCCAACAGGGCCTAGCTTACCCACTTATCGGTCACGTGTATCCACACCGTGACATATAGTATATATTCTATTGAAAGCTATATACGATCGAGTTGAATATATCAATCAAGATGATTATCTAATACGCCTAATGCGTTTAGCATGCTTTCTATAGGTCTTTCGATCTTTCTATTACAAAGCAAAAAATGAATTACGACGTGATTACAATGATAAAATGTTAGGCCAAACTTACACCTAGACCCCCATGCTTTATAACTAGTGAGAAAAATTCTCTACCTGCAGAGGGAAGCTCGAACAGTCATCTAGCCAATCCCTGCTACCTTCTTTGGCTGGCCAAATAGAACGGAGTACCTCCCAAATCTCAGGATCATGAAAGTAGGACAAATAGCTTTGATTCATTTGATCCAATTCCTTCCTCCCATGTCGCCCCAGTTCCCGAACAGTGAAGCTTTCTTCATCATCATCTCGCGGAACGCGCTCAAATAGCCATGATCGAATCAGACTATCAGCCATCGCGTTAAAGGTGCTCCCCATACGGTCGCTGACGCCGTATTCGCCCGCTCCCGTAGGCCACAATTTAAGCCGCTCCAGCCGTCTACCGGATTTGTTCTGGTTAATGGTCTCCCAGATTGAACGAGCTAGCGCCTCGTCTACTGCGCAATTGATAAATGTCTCCTTCAGTTCACCCCTCTTCAAAAAGGTGTGTGGCTTATTGTCTATAGGCTTTTGGTCTTCTTCATCGAATTCGGGATTGTATGTACTGTCCCGAGTAACCCGCCAATTCGAACAATCCAGGATAAGAAAGAGGGATCGTAAGCGTTTCATCCTGCCGAAGCATCTGTACATCTTAGCTTCGGATACACTGGACTTGTTGCGCTTGACTGGAACAGCAAGCTCTTCTAGTATCGGACACTGAGCTTCGATTTGCAAAATACGGTTATGGGTGAACTCTAAGGGCAGATCCAGTGGATTGTGACCAGCAGCGTTTCGAAAAAAATTCTCAAAAGGATTAAAGCTGAGTTTTTTAAGTGTCTGTCCATGATGGGAGAGAACAGTGTCCAGGATTGGTGAGTCCATCGACCCATCGATGGATAGTTCCTCAAGAGATTCGAAAGCACGGAAAAAGGAAACTGCGTGCTCACTGTAGTTCGGGTCACCGTGAAAATAATTTTTGCGGGTAAGATAAACATTGAGTGTTTTGACTCGGGGAAAGAAATGGTTCTGGGCAACCCATTCCATTGTCTCGCCACTGAGCCCAGACATCTTTGCGTCGTAGCAACCTCCGAGGGTAAGGTGTCGCAGAAAAGCAAAGTCTGTATATCTGGCCCAATTCTGTAGCATTTTTGGGGAATCCAAACGTGAATATCCCTTGAGTGACAGTGATGTCAGGGATCCTACTTTCTCGCCAGTAAAGCCTGGAAGGCCTTGCCACGACCCTCGGGGACGGACTGGTTTTAAAGAGCGTCCTGGAAGGAGATTTAAAACAACTACCTCCTTCAAGTTGGGAGCAAGCCCAGATGTAAGCTCCATCATAGCCTCCAAGTTGAAATCATCGTCGTATTCACTATCGCGTAAAGCGCAAGTAATCTTTACTCTATACAAAGATGGTGATGTAGCAAGCTCCATCTCGTAAGAATAGGGGATGCCCCACAATAGAGTCCGGAATCGGAACGTGAGGTGATGAAGCCTGCATTGAGGATGCTGCTCGTGAAGTGTTCTGAGAAGACTTGGCGGAAATTGACTCTGGCAGTCATAGACCAGATCTTCCAGGTGAATTTTAGCTTGGAGCAAGTTCACAACGGGAGCCCATGCCATATCCTCCTCAGAAAACTTTTCAATAACGCCCCCATCATACACCGTATATAAGCCGCCATACTGGACTGCTTCCTCATCCACTAGTACCTCGTCAAGGCCAGTTTGAGCCAACCAACACGTTTGTGGACCAAATCCTTCTGTCTTCTTGGTGCTGGGCCTTAGAGCCCCTTTGATAGTGATGCGTCGGATGTGACGAAATGAATCTGTGCGAGAGAGAGTCTCAATAAGTCCATCAACATCGCGACGCAGTTCTTTGCGATCGTCAACTGTGATTACAATTTGCCGAAAGACGAGAAAGATTGCGGCCGCATGGCAGGCCTTGTTTGTCAAGGTAAAAGCGTCGAGACTAGGCCGATGCGCTATTTCGAGGAAGACTGCGATATTTTGTAGTACTTCGAGTGGGAAGGAAAGAAAAGCCATCCTGGTCGCGCTTGTAATTGTGGGTACTGTGTACTATGAGTGACAATTATAATTGAGGAAATTGAGACTAAGTCGAGATATTAATCTCTAAATGCAACCTGTGTTGAAACAATGACACAGTAGGCTAGTAAAGCCGATTCTTTCCAAATTCAACGAGTAACTATTTGAGTGTATGTTTTGACAGTCGATGTAAGGAAAGCTCATCTGATATAACGGTACTCGGCTGGGGCTTTTACCCAGGCAGCGCTTAGTCAAATGCAGAGTAGCGCTTAGCCAACCGCAAAGTAACACGGCGCTGATGCCACGCTATAACTGTATCAATACTCCGGAATTCGTGCTTCGGTACATGATTGGTACAGCGCCTTCCCACGTAGGATTGAAACCCTGTAGCGGTTTGTTGTTAAGCCAATTATTTTCATTTCTGGATAGTAATCTCAGTACCTAGGTATTCTTAGTATTTGTATTACCTGAAATCAAAATTTACATCCCAATTCATATCAAAACTACAAAAGTTTGTTTCCACAATCTGCGCAAGGAATATTATACCAGCTAGATAGGTATAGCATAGACTTTTTTAGTCAAACTCTCTGATTGATGCAATGGTATCGTACCTTCTCACGTCGTACCTCCCCACGTCGTACCTTCCCACGTCGTACCTTCCCACGTCGTACCTTCCCACGTCGTACCTTCCCACATCGTACCTTCCCACGTCGTATATCCTTGCATTGTGCCTTTCTACATCGTATCTTCCTATGTAGGATTGAAACCTCATAACGGTTTATTATTTGCCCAATTATTAAACTAATCATTAAATCAAGTAACCGTGCAAGTAGTAATAGAAATCGACGAGGCTTAACCTTAAACAACTAGTAGCCTCGACGAATACATTTTCGAGGTACGGTACACGGTTATATATAGTTGCTCCAAATTATGATTTCAACTACCTACCTAGGTACTTGGAATCGAATTTCACATTCCAATTATCACGGGCTCAGTAGTATAGATGCCTCAGGTGTCCACACATGGTCTCGAGATAGTCAGCATTCTCCTGAGAACTTCCTTCTCTCCTTGTAGAATATCACATATCTATCGTCCTATCCCTTGTATCATGATACGATTTTACAGACGATGCAAATGTAGGCTCTCCAACGTCTACATCTGTTATCGTCCATTTCTATGGTCTCTACCTGTAAGATTCTTCGAGTGGAGTGAGGTCGTAGGGGAAGCCCCCAATTTATTTCAATAGTAAAAAAAAATATCCATAATACCACATCACACCACAATTTCCTATATTCTATTTTTGTAAGAATGAGCCCCCAAGGCCTCGATACTTCGTTACGCTTGAAGAATCTCTGGTTCAATCAAATCTACAAAACTGTGTTTTCATAAACTGCTTCAGAAACATGATATTAGCTAAGTATAGTGTAGGCTTTCTTGGTTAAATTTCCTGATTCGTGCAAAGGCATCGCACTTAGCGGAATGTTTTGAGATAGCCTGCATCATAAAGCGTACTCCATAGCTGCTTCCATCTTCTAAGTATCCATCAAAAGAGTAACTTTTAAAAGCATTTGAACCTTTCACAGGAGCGTATCAGATTGAGCACCAAGCCCCTATGCCGTGCCACATGTAAGTAAGCAGAAGACCCCACGGGATTGAAACAGTGCCACTCAAGGCATTAGTACAATCATCAAATCTCAGTTGTAGGATTGGTGGGGCGGAAGCTGGCCATTCGTACGAGCAGACGAGGACTGTGCCGCCGGCGCCGCCATCCCAACCATGAGTAAGTTCCAATGTTTCATTTTTGGATGGTAGATGTTGTAGACTATGGCACGACTTACAGATGAAGAATTCACAAATAGAAAGATTAGAAGGAGGAATCTTACGGCGTGTACAATCCAGACATGATGTTTACCAACGTAGCCATCACTGCGTGAGAAGAGAAAGTGGGATACTATCAATTTGCGAGTATATAAGTCGTGCAGTCTGCTTTGTTTCCGGTCTCTGTCATCCTGTCCAGCTCCATCAACAACAAAAAAACTCTCTTACGAGTGTCAGTTTTCTTTCGTCAGCTCATCTTCACCTAGTATCACATTCTTTTGCGCTTTCATTCGCTCATTATTCTTGTTATATAAAAATTGAAAACACATTCACTATGGTGTCTTTCAAGAAACTCTTCATTTCAACCTCCCTTCTCCTCAATGGGATTGCTGCATTCCCAACCCAAACTGGGACGCTGAAAATCGCCGCTACTGAGGTCCGCGCCGTCCATATCCTGTGCGGTAATGAGGAAACAGATGCCAAAACTGCAATGCAGGCTGCTATTGGCGCTGACAGTGTCACTATCGGGGCCCAAACTCGGGAAAAATATCTTGAAGCAAAAAAAGGAATCGATGCCGTCAAGCCCAACTTCACATTCAATAAAGTGGTTATCTACGGCGCTGAAATTAAAGTTACGGATACAACTGCGATAACTCTCTCGAGTGTAACCGGAGCCACAACCCTTACCGAGGGCACTGGTCCGAGAATTTGCAGACAGTCTCAATAGTCATGGAGATAGGAATATTGGATTGATTCAGTTTAGTTGTTGTTTTGGAGTTGTAGAAGCGGGTTCGGCTCAGGTCTGCCTACTGGATTATCGCCATTCTTTGAAGGTATATTAAGAGGGGAAAATTTGTAGCTATTTTATCACCTTGCTGGATTTCTGTTTATCTTTTTATCTGTTTGTTTATTTGTTTGTTTATCTGTTTGTCTATTTTTTTATTTGTCTGTTTCTTTATTTATCTGTTTGTTTGTTTATTTGTTTGTTTATTTGTTTGTTTATTTATTTGTTTATTTGTCTGTTTGTCTGTTTATCTACTTCTATTTTTCTACTATGCTTATAGAATCTAAACTTAAATTAAGAAACTTTAACTTTTCTTAGAGCTATTAATTCTTAGAGACACCAACTTTTGATCTAGTTCTTAGTATAAAAAGTAACTCATCTTAAAACTATTACCTCCTTTAAATATTCTTTCTAATTTCATATTAAAACTATAATTTATATAATACTAGAGTAGAGAGAGATAGTCGTAATTAGTACTAGTTAATAGCTCTATTTAATATACAGCTCTTTATCTTAGAGACACTCGTAAGTACTCTAAAGCAATAACAGATTACTATACTATATATTGAAATACTACTATTCTAGAGTCAGAGAGGTTTAATAATAATAACATGAGTATATTAATTAAGAGACAACTAGTTAATAATATAGAGATATATAATTAGGATTTTAATAAAGAAATAGAGACATAATAGAAGCTTTGAACTACTTTATAGAAATACTACGGTTTGAATACTGTAATCTATTATACTTATATATCTTACTTGGAATTATTTTTCTATTATAACGACTGAATATAATGTTATTATATATCAAAATCATACTTGTTTATAATATGTATATTATACGGTAAAGTTATATACCTGTAATGTACGATGGAAAGATATATGTCATAGAATGAATAGTAAAAAACGTTAGAGGAATATTACGACCCTATATTTATAGTAGAAAATTATTATTATAATCTACAAAGTGAGGGATAATTGATAGTATTGACGAGATATCATTAGCGAAGTTCAGTAGCGCCGGTATAACTTTTTTGAGCCCCTTCGTTAGATTCATCGTAAATATAAAATTGAAAGACTTCCTAACACATCTATACAACATTTCGATACAAATATAGACCTCCGGTAGACCTATTGTAAATGTAGGCCATTCAGAAATTCCAGAACTGTCCTAACACTTGATCGAAACTAAGCTTCAAGGTGACCAAGAACCCCACTGATGAGTTGCCGACGACCAGGCAGCAATCGCCACTCTCTTCGCCGCCGAAGTCGTTATTCTGTAATCCACAATTGAGCAGGCAATGTATATAGGTTTGATTTAAGATCTCAGTGCTGGAGTCCCAGGAGACAAGGTCATACTCGTATCCTTCTCCTCAAGTCCATTATCGCTAACAAGCAACGCAGCCAAAGCACAAGCTCCGATCAGCGGCGCGTACAATATGAAGACGGTGCGTACGCTAGCCATGTAAGCGTCCAGGACCGCGTTGTGCTGTGCAGCCGACAAACCCAGCGAGTCAAGTTGATTGATAGAAGTCGTTATTGTTTCGGCGACGGATGAGCTTACCACGCCTCGTAGGCGCGCCTTGAGCACGTTGTTCAAGATAGTACTTGCGAGCGTCAGTCCCAGCGTACCTCCCATACTGCGCAGGAAGTTGCGCAACGAGTTGAGCACGGCGCGATCAGCGCGGCGCGAGTGTGCCAGGAGAGCTACGAGACTGGGCTGGAAGCAGCAGCCTGTGCCTAGGCCCTGGAAGAAGCCCACAACGCAGATGGCCCAAATTGGCGTGGTGCGTGAGTAGAAGGCCTGTGGGATGAGGAGTAGAGCCCATAACCATTGGCCCAGGACCATTACGGGATTATAGCGCTTCGTGTGTGAAATGATAAGACCTGATAAGATGGAGCCCAGCCCTTGAGATCCTGCCATAGGCATGATAATAGCACCTGCCATGATAGCCGTGTAACCGCGGACATTGACTAAGTAGATGGGCATGTAAAAGAGGTTACCCCAGAAGACGATACCGTAAAGGACATTTTGGACGAGCAGGATGTTGCAGGATAGACCATTCCGGAAGAGGTGTACTTTGCCATGTTAGTAGATGCCAAGGAACACAATAGCCGAGATAGCAAGCACTCACTAGGCATGATGGGCAATTTAGCCACCTTCCACTCCACAGTTAGGAAAGCAGCAAAAGTGACGACTCCGACCACGAGCATAGCGATGACGAGGGTGCTGTCCCACGCAAAGGTCGAGCCACCTTGAGACAAAGGTACCTGATTGACTTGGATCAGACAAAACAAACGGCAAATTTTAAAATGAGAGGACTTACCAACAATAGAACAATAGCAGCAACGCTCATACCAACACCGATCCAGTCGATCATACCGAGTTTCGCCCTGGTACCAGCGGCCATTTTGCTGCTTGGAAGCACCACGAAGAGCATAATAGACAAGATAACTAGCCATGGTACATCATACCAGAGGCTTGAGCTGTCGTCAGCAGTCTATATCACTTAAAATGTGGTCATAATGGGTGGAAATACTAACGTCCATCTCCAAGAAACCTTAGTCGCCATAGTACCACCAAGCAAAGGCCCCAATCCACTTCCAAAGGCAACTGCTAGACCGATGAAGCCATTGTACTTGCCTCGCTGTTGTAGCGTCGTAACATCGCTGGCAATGATTTGGACTAGAGCCGTTCTTTTTTTTTGTGAAATGATCAGTTAATTGAAACCGAAAAAAGGAAGAAGGCTACTTGAGTAAGAATATGGACGGCTTACATGGCACCACCCCCTAGCCCAGATACAACACGGAAAGTAAACAACATGCCCGGACTGTTTGAAAACCCGCATACCAAGTTACCAGTTGCAAGGATGCCAAGCGACATCAACAGTAACTGCTTGCGCCCGAAAATGTCGCTAAGTCGTCCATTGAGTAGCTGTACGGCCGTCGTTGCCATGAGGTACGACGTCGCCACCCATGATAGCTGAGGGCCGAGGTGTAGCGCTTCTCCGATGGTGGGCACGGCTGCTGAGATAGACGTCTGGTCTAGGTATGCTGTAAACTGTGCTAGAGCCAAGAGTGGGAATACTTGCATGAGCTTCTTGTGCGGGAGATTGTTCGACTGCTGGTCTTTGAAGGTATTAAATTGAACAGTAGCTGTTGAATCACTGTCTTTTGATCTTGACAATGGTTTACTATGGTCGTTGATCGAGTTGACAATAGTGGTGTCATTGTTAGTGCGAATTTGCAGCGGGAGCTGTTGCTGAGATGTTTCGTTCATGCTGTGCAGCGTGGATGATTTCTTTGTTACCTTGCCCTACTACTTGGCAGTTTTAAAGTTATGTATGCCCTACAATCCGCAGATGAAGAGGGAATCGTGCTTCATAATCTTTAATTTTTCGGGTAAACCTCGGTTCATCTACCCCGGTAGGTTGGCTCGGTTGGTGAACCCTTCAGACTTTGGATGGCTGGAGGAGGGCCCATGTCCAACCGAACCAGGGGACCACAATTTCACTTACCGTGTCCTTTCGCAGACTGGCCGACGCTTGCAAGGATTAATAATTTAAGCTTATCATGGGTTAGGGCTGCGGTAAACACCGGAGCTGTGTGATTTGATCAGTCGATGGGCTATTCATTAAACGCCTTGTATTTCTATTAAACACTTCTATTTTGGGGCGTTTACTTCATTCAGAGGCAAGCCAATTGGCCCTAAAATTATTAATCCTTACAAGCGTCGGCCAATTCTGCGAAAGTACGCGGTACTTGTAGTTCTGGGCGCGGGAATGGTAGGGCGTGGCGCTACCGTGCTTCCCCTGGTGAAGCCTTGTGATGGAGACCCACTTCAATGGTTCCGTGTCTTCCGAAGTGCGTAATGTATATGCTTCAGAAAAATGGATTTTATTGTAATGGACATGGTTACCATTGGACCAGCCTTACCCCTTAGGGCTCTGAGATCGATCTAATTACATAATATATGGCTATCACAGGACAGTCCTTCTTAATCTACAGTCAATCTGCCCTGCAGGTTACCCGCTGGAGGTTCTGACCGCATTATAGATTATCTATAGAGCCTTGAAAATTATCTACTCTGTATACATAAGACAATTATCTGCTTATACGACCAGGGAGTATACGACTCTAATGCTAGATGTATACATCAAAAGATAATAAACTATACGAGGACTGATTCGATTCTCATAACGCTGGAGTTGTATACTTTCAAATTATACAAGTATAGCCAAATGATTTTTATATATATAAATAGTTATCTATAAATAATCAGACACTCTATAGGTTACTTGTGCGATCAGAAAGTATATCACACTCTACTCGCGGACATGTCTCATAAGATGATAAAATGTAAGGTGATTAGTGGTTTATATTTAGGTGTAGTGTTGTATACTTTCTGCCGCACGAGTATTCATTCAAATATTCGAATCATCTTTTCTACAATGGATTATCTGTAGATCACTCGGTAGCGTCATTGTCCGCTCTGCGGGTATCCATTGCGTAGCCTAGTGACAGGTAGGCCCGAACATGAATCTCCTTGTTTTCTTATGCGGGGTTCTCCTCAATTTCACATTTGATACTTTGAATTACGCCTTGGAGTTTGTGCTTTTTATTGTATGATTCGGTTTGACGTTTCATGATTTGTGGAATATTCAATATTTGCTAAGCTTTTTGTGAACAAAATCTCTACTTGCATTTTCCAAGACTCTACAAACGTAGCTAAGAAACTCAAGGAGCTCTAGATTGTAGATCTAGAGGCTTAAGATTAAGTAACTTTCACATTTAAGGTTGTTACTATGTTTAAACTCATCGGGGAGCCAGGTTAAGGAGCCGGTACATGAGAATCTTCAGTTCCGCGTCACAATTATATATGAGTATGTGTCGGGATATCGATCATGTGATCTAAGAGGGCACTGTATTGCAACTAGC